TTTGTACTTTGTATTTTCTATATCCTAAAGTAGTGTAGTTTGCACTTTGTGTTTGGTTGGGTGTACACCTACATCCCAACCAAACGCAAATGTAATCTCCAAGCAATCTCCAACCCACCAATTGGAGATTGCCTTGGGATTACCCCCAATCCCTAGGGGTTGCCCCCGATTCCCTTCCCCATCCATTCCCTACCCTTCTTGGATGTACTTAAAGAGCTTCAAGCTCATTACTAATGCATCGCTTCTAAGCCTAAGTTCTGACAGTTTCAGTTTTGGGGCCGAGCTTACCACCTTGCTATCGCCGAGCCTGAGGGTTGAGGAGGACATAGGTGGTGCACCCCCATACCCGAAGGGGGCGAGCAGTGGGTGTTTTCCCGAGCCTAAGTGTGGTGGGAGTGGTGTCGGGAAGATGCGGGTGGGGGTAGAGGTTGGAGAGGAGGGCGGCATGGTAGAGGGCCTACCCCCAGAGAGAAAGTGGTGCGTTTGAGTGGCTGAGGAGGCAGCGGGTGATCCTTGCCAACGTGTGATTGCGGCTCTCAGCGATGCCGATCTGCTGCGGGCTGTCAAGAAGGGTGAAGTTTTGCAGGATACCGAGAGAGGAGCAGAGCGCTTTGAGTCTGTCGTTGCAAGATTCACCGCCACCATCCGAATGGAGGCGCTTGACCTTCGTGTCAAAGGTGGTCTGTGCCTGGTTGACCCACGCTATGATGGTCTCAAGAGCCTCAGCCTTAGTATGGAGTAGGTGCACAGAGACGTAGCGAGAGTGGTCATCAACTATTGCAAGAAAATAGCGATAACCGCCTCGTGCGGCAACAGGGGCAGGGCCCCAGACGTCCATGTGCACTAAGTCCAGTGGAGCTGCTGCGACTGAAGGCGAGGCAGGGTGGGGCTGTTGGCGTAGCTTGCGATTGGTGCAGTCAAGGCATGTGGGAGCGGGAGAGTCAGGTGGTGGAGGGAGTGAGGCTGGTAGGCCGAGAAGAAGTTTCTTGGAGGCCATGTCAGCGAGCGTGCGGAAATCTGGGTGCCCGAGCCGATAGTGGTAGAGGATGGTCGGGTTGGAGAAGCTGCGACATGAGCATGGTGTGATAGCAGCCTGTGCTTGGGTGGTTGACACCTGTGGGATAGGTGCTCGCAGCGTGTAAAGGCCACTACTATTGAGGGTGAGAGCGAGCCAAGACCTTGTTGGTGAGTGGGTCGATGATGTCACAGTAATGCTTGAGCCACTAGATTGTGGCGTAGTGAAGGCACGCACATGCCAGTGACAGTGGCAGATGGGAAGGTGGGGCATGGGACAGTGGACGAATTCTTGGCAAAAGTGGTGAAGCTTGAATCAGCTCCCAAGAGAGGAATGTTTGTTGAATAGGGTTTGAAGGAGAGTGTCTCCTTGAGCACTGTGTGGGTGGCCCCGCTATCGAGTGTAAATTCTATGTACTGTGGTGCCTGTGGTGAGCTGATATGCTGCGAGGTTGCTTCATTGATCATGGCGGTACCAGGGATTAACAAGTTGATGGTTGCCGAGGCGAAGGCCATGGTGAAGAACCTCTTTCTCGCGCGAAATGTGTCTCTTAAGTCATCGATAAAAACTTCGGGTTTAGGGTTTACGAAGGAGAATTGCGAAGTAGGGTTCATGAAGGAGAATTTTGAGGAGAGGTTTAGCGATTTCGAAATCCGAAGGTCCCGAAGAGCGAAGAACGTCAGTGTTGGCCGCTTCAAGATGTCTCATAAAAGGTTTAAGGCCGACGAAAATAGGTTGAAACGGCCGATTTTGGTAGTGTCGACTAATTACTAACCCTGCTCCAACACACCCCCCCACACACCACCCTCAGCTTCGTGGCTACACTGCTGCTCAGCTTCACTGCTACACGGCTGCTCAGCTGCGCAGCTTCACCAGTTCAGCTGCGGGGTGATGGAACTGCCGTTGCGGGGTGATGGAAGTGCCGTTGCGGGGCGACGAGCGGCAGCCCGAAGGTGACACTGCAGGGCGACTGGCGGCAGCCCGAAGAGAAGATGCAGGGCGACGGGCGGCAGCCCGAAGGGAAGCTGCAGGGCGACAGGCGGCAGCCCGACGATTGACGAGATGGGAAAAATTGGGTTACGTCGAAGCGAGAAGGGCGGCGGGACAAATCCGCGATGATGAGGGAGAGCGACGAGAAAATGGTAGTTATGGTTACCTTAAGCGAGACGCATAAATCGGTGCCTCGTAACTGAAGAAAAGGTAGTGTGGGAGAGAATCTACCCACGGAAAATGTTGCGAATCAACGGCGATGAAAGCGGCGCGGGAAAAATTCCGACCGGGAAGAAGATTAGGTCGATGAAGGTACTTTACATCGAGTGATGAATGTTGAAGGCGGCTTCGCCCAAGGGTGCGGAAGAGGATTCCGCAAAGGTTAAAGGATCAAGATCCGCATGTGCGGTTGAATGGCTCTGATACCATGTTAGAACTTGGGCTTAGAATCCATACATTAGTAATGAGCTCAAGGCTCTTTAAGTACATTGGAAATGGGCAAGGTAAGGGTGGGGAGAGAATCAGGGGCAATCCTAGGGAATTGGAGGTAATCCCAAGGCAATCTCCAATCGGTGGGTTGGAGATTGCTTGGAGATCACATTTGGGTTTGGTTGGGATGTGGGTGTATACCCAACCAAACACAAAATGCAAACTACACTAACTTAGTATATAAAAAGTACAAGTACAAATGTGAGATTGAGGGCTAACATTAACACCTTCAACCAGAAACCACTCGCCCTCTTTATCCCTTCCGGCCATGCCATATCACCACCATAAATAGCTGCCGCTACTGCACTCTGTCTCGAGAGCATCCCTTTCACTTCACCCCCCACCACTCACCTGCCGTATCCCTTCCAGCCATGTAGTGTTTACCGCAAACCGCTGCCGCCGCTGCACCCTGCCTCCTCCCCACCTTTTGAGGCGCCTCAAAGGTCCCTCACACACACAGCATGCATTCTTTTCACCTTCTCCCCTCTACCCCGACTCACTCACCCGCCTGATCCCTTCCAGCCAAGCCGTGTCCACCACAAATCGCTGTCTGCGCTGCACCCTGCCTCCACTCCATCGCAGCCCCAGCCCCAGGCTCCACCCTCCACCCCCACCATCGTTCCTCTCAGTCACTGCACTGTTTGCCCCCGTGCTGCTGGTGGGGATGCTGGGAGGGGCAGGGTGGAGTGGAGAGTGGGAGGTGGGAAGTGCAGGGAGTGCAGTGTGGGGAGTGGGGAGAGGGAAGAGAGGGGATTCGAGGCGTGTCAAGACTTGCTGCTGTCTGCGCTGCACCCTGCCTCCTCCACTCCATCGCAGCCCCAGCCCCAGGCTCCACCTGCCATCCCCACCGTCACTCCTCTCTGCCACCGCACTGCTTGACCCTGTGCTGCTCGTGGGGATGCTGGGAGGGGGAAGTAGGAAGACGGAAAAGATGGGATTTGAGGCGCCACAGGACTTGCTGTCTGCGCTCCATCCTGCCTCCACTCCACCGCAGCCCCAGCCCCAGGTTCCACCCGCCACCCCCACCGTCACTCCTCTCTGTCACCGCACTGCTCGCCCCCGTGCTGCTGGTGGGGATGCTGGGAGGGGGGAGTAGGGAGACGGAGAAGATGGGTCTTGAGGCGTGTCATGACTTGCTGTCTACGCTGCACCCTGTCTCAACTCCATCGCAGCCCCAGCTCCAGGCTTTATCCACCGCCCCCTCCGTTACTCATCTCTGTCACCGCACTGCTTGCCCCGTGCTTCTGGTGGGGATGCTGGGAATGGGGGGTGGGAAGTGGGGAGAGGGGAGGGGGTAGTGGGGAGTGGAACGTGGGAACTAGTAGGGAAGGGGGATGGACAGAGGGGAATGGGGAAGTGAGGAGTGGAGAAGTGGGGAATGGAATGCCGACCGAAAAACAAACAGGGAACTATCAAGAAAAGAAAGCAGGGAACCAACAAGAATTGCAAGCAGGGAAGCTAAGCAGTGGTCGCCAGCAGCCCAGTTTCTGAGGGACAGGGCACGGGGCACAGGCCAGAGGGCACAGGTCACAGGCCAGAGGGCACAGGTCACAGGCCAGAGGGCACAGGGCACAGAGGGCACAGAGGGCACAGAGGGCACAGAGGGCACAGAGGTCACAGAGGGCACAGAGGGCACAGAGGGCACAGAGGGCACAGAGGGCACAGAGGGCACAGAGGGCACAGAGGGCACAGAGGGCACAGAGGGCACAGAGGGCACAGAGGGCACAGAGGGCACAGAGGGCACAGAGGGCACAGAGGGCACAGAGGGCACAGAGGGCACAGAGGGCACAGAGGGCACAGAGGGCACAGAGGGCACAGAGGGCACAGAGGGCACAGAGGGCACAGAGGGCACAGAGGGCACAGAGGGCACAGAGGGCACAGAGGGCACAGAGGGCACAGAGGGCACAGAGGGCACAGAGGGCACAGAGGGCACAGAGGGCACAGAGGGCACAGAGGGCACAGAGGGCACAGAGGGCACAGAGGGCACAGAGGGCACAGAGGGCACAGAGGGCACAGAGGGCACAGAGGGCACAGAGGGCACAGAGGGCACAGAGGGCACAGAGGGCACAGAGGGCACAGAGGGCACAGAGGGCACAGAGGGCACAGAGGGCACAGAGGGCACAGAGGGCACAGAGGGCACAGAGGGCACAGAGGGCACAGAGGGCACAGAGGGCACAGAGGGCACAGAGGGCACAGAGGGCACAGAGGGCACAGAGGGCACAGAGGGCACAGAGGGCACAGAGGGCACAGAGGGCACAGAGGGCACAGAGGGCACAGAGGGCACAGAGGGCACAGAGGGCACAGAGGGCACAGAGGGCACAGAGGGCACAGAGGGCACAGAGGGCACAGAGGGCACAGAGGGCACAGAGGGCACAGAGGGCACAGAGGGCACAGAGGGCACAGAGGGCACAGAGGGCACAGAGGGCACAGAGGGCACAGAGGGCACAGAGGGCACAGGTCAGAGGGCACAGGCCAGAGGGCACAGGGCATGGCAGCAGCAGCGCACTTACAGGGAAGTGTGTGGCCCTCCTCCAGGGTAAGCCATCATGCCTCCTGCCTCTGCCACTCCAGGAAAATCCCCACCACCAGCACTGACACCAGGCAGAGCAGCGAAATCTGCAGCACCAGGAGCAGCAGCAGCCGCACCACCACCACCCCTGCCAGCAGCGGCGGCAGCAGCAGCCAGAGCAGCGGCTCTAGCTCGTTGTGCCAGTGCCTCTATCTCACTGCTGCTGCTCACGAAGGTGGTGAGCGAGGTGGAGAGCGAAGAGGGGAGGGACGAGCGGAGCGAGGAGGTGAAGGAGGAGGGAGGGAGGGTGGGAGTGTGGGGAGGAGGAGCGAGTGTGGAGGGCTGTGAGATGGAGTCTGGTTCGGTGGGGGCAGCTGTAGCAGAGGAGGTGATGGTGGGGAGGGTCGAGCGGGCAGATGAGGGTGGAGGAAGACGGGCAGACCTGTGGGTGCGTGTAGGGGCAAAGGGGAGAGGAGAGGGAGGATGGGGGATGAGAAAGTAAACGGAGTGTGGATGGGGGAGAGAATAAGAGGGTTCATTGGGGCCTGTAGCAGAGGGGGGTGATGGTGGCGAAGGGCGGGCGGACAGATGAGGGTGGAGGGAGACGGGCAGACCTGCAGTTCGGTGGAGGGAGGTGGAAAGGGGTGGAGGGGGGTGAAAAGGCTGAGATAGTGGAGGAATGGATGGAAGGGGTGATGGCACGTGTGAGTGGGAGTGCAATGCTCACAATGCTAAAAAAGGCTGAAGCAGATTGCATGCAGAGTTTATGAACGGACAGAAGAGGCCAGAAGGAGTGGGAGTGGGAGCGGGAGTGGGAGTGGGAGTGGGAGCGGGAGTGGGAGTGGGAGTGGGAGTGGGAGTGGGAGTGGGAGTGGGAGTGGGAACGGGAGTGGGAGTGGGAGTGGGAGCGGGAGTGGGAGTGGAAGTGGGAGCGGGAGTGGGAGTGGGAGTGGGAGTGGGAGTGGGAGTGGGAGTGCGATGCTCCCACGACGTTCATTCCACCTGTCTGTAGTACAGACACACGGCCTCCACACACGCACACACGTTTCTTGGGTCGACTCAGAACTCGTCGCATTCCACCTGTCTGTAGTAAACAGACACGGGGCCAACACACACTCACTTCTGTAGGTTGGTCTTAGAGAATTCGTAAAATTCAACCTACATAAGAATGAACCTCCCATGACGTTCGTTCCACCTCTCAGTAGTACAGATACACGGCCTCCACACACCCACACATCCCCCCCACTCCCACGCACACATCCCCCCCACTCCCACCCACACATCCCCCCCACTCCCACGCACACATCCCCCCCACTCCCACGCACACATCCCCCCCACTCCCACGCACACATCCCCCCCACTCCCACGCACACATCCCCCCCACTCCCACGCACACATCCCCCCCACTCCCACGCACACATCCCCCCCACTCCCACGCACACATCCCCCCCACTCCCACGCACACACCCCCCCCACTCCCACGCACACATCCCCCCCACTCCCACGCACACTCTGCCCTCAAAGTCCGACACCAGAGCATCCAGAGTCTCTTCGCGAGGAGTTCGCTCCCACCAGGAGTTCGCTCCCACCAGGAGTTCGCTCCCACCAGGAGTTCGCTCCCACCAGGAGTTCGCTCCCACCAGGAGTTCGCTCCCACCAGGAGTTCGCTCCCACCAGGAGTTCGCTCCCACCAGGAGTTAGCTCCCACCAGGAGTTCGCTCCCACTTCCCTGTCATGATGACTCAGGACACTACTCTTCCCTTCACACTCCCAATCACACTCATACTCTCTACCCCTCACCCCCCCCCCCCCCCCCATGCATACCCTGCTCTCAAAATCCGTCCTCAGAGCATCCAGAGCCTACTCCCAAGCAGCCTTCCATGGAACAGGAGAGTGTTCCCCTAGCAGCCCGTTCCCCTTCCACTGCCATGTGCAAGGCAGCGCACACTCTCCGTCACACTACCCTGTACACCAAACCCCCATTCACACGCACACTCTGCTCTCAAAGTCCGTCATCAGAGCATCTAGAGCCCGCTCCCCCTCCAATGCCATCACGCCACACTCCCCCTCACACTCCCCCTTTCAAACCCCATTGACCCAACCCACCCCTTCCCCCACCACCCCGCTTCTCTCCCCTCCCCCCTCCCCCCCCCCTTTTCCCCACGCACACTCTGCTTTCAAAGTCCGTCATCAGAGCATCCAGCGCCGATTCCCGAGCGGCCCGCTCCCCCTCCACCCCCGCTGCCAGCCCCTCCAGCTGCCCCCTCATGGCTGCTTCTGCTGCTGCCTTCTGGCCCACCACCGTCTGGAGCGGGGGGGGTGCGGAATGGGAGTGGACGGAGGAGAGATGAGACGCCATCTCACACCTCACCGCCTCCGCCGCTGCCTTGTTGTGCCACCACCATCTGGAGAGAGAGAGGTCAGGGGAGTTTTTAAGTCGACTCAAAAGGGTGACTTTTGAGTCAACTCAGAGGCTAAGTTGGAATATACGCTACTTTCATTTTGCGTTTTGCGTTTATACTCTTATCGAATTCGTACGCTGCGTATAGTTTGAAAATTCACCGAGTTGAATTTTGGGCAGACCGAAAAAAAAAACAAAATTTCAATCTGAAGCTCGCAACGTGGCGATCTCATTTCCGAGTCGCAGATGTCGCGAAATGATCTCAATTTTTGAATTTCGAGCTCCAAACCTCAGCAACCCCTCCCCTCCACCGTTACACACCCCTATTAACCACAGCATTCCACCATCCCCTCCAACTGCTACTTTACTGGTTGGGTGCTCAACCCAACCCAATCTCCCAGGCATAAAGGGAGGCATTTGTTCACTCGTCATTCATTCTCTCGCTTCCTATTCTAGCTACCTCCCCTCCCAAACCACCATGGCTTCTACTACTCCTACAGCAACAACTTCTCGTTCGCCACACTCAGAGGCTCCTAGTAGTTCCGCTGGAGGGACCTCTTCTGTTACTGCTCTGGTCTGAATGGACAGCAAGCACCCAGTCTACCGCCACTTCATGGTGCCGGCTGATAACGTGGGGGAGAACGGCACCAAGGTGTGTGCCTACTGCAGCTTCAAGTTTGTTGGCGGGACGTACCGCTGCGCGCAGCATATCACCAGCTGGACGGGCATGCGCCGTCTTGAAGTGCATCTCTGCACTCAAGCGCCGAAGACTGCACGGGACGCCGTGAAGGCGGTTTACGAGAACAAGTTCAAGGCCCGTGAAGCAAAGCGTGCGGCTGAAATTGCGGCGGTCGGCGCAGTCAATGGCGGTTCCGACAAGAAGAAGACGCGGATGACCGACTTCTACGGCGACGACGCCGCGTGCGCGAAGCAAGCTGCGGACGAGGCGCTTTGCCTGCTCTTTGCCGCTCTTCATATCCCGGAGCATCACGCGGACCACCCACTCTGGCGGAACGCAGTCTCCAGCATCGCGCGCGCGGGGACGGGTTACGTGCCGCCGAAGAGACGCTACATCGGTGGCGCTGGTCTTGCAAAATGTCGCCAGCGCATTGAGGCGGCACTCGATCCGATCGCTGCAAGCTGGCGTCGTGACGGCGTCACCGTTGCAAGCGACATGTTCTCTGACAAGGCCGGCCGCCCGCAAGCCAATGTGCTCCTCATCAACGATAGCGGAGCCGTGTTCGTGGAGTCGATCGACACAAAGATGGAGATGAAGACCGGCGGCTACATCGCGGGCATCTTGCGCCCCGTCATCGAGAAGGTTGGCGCGGAGAATGTCGTCGCCTTTTGTTTTGACGGCGGCTCCAATTACGCGGCGGCCTGCAGGGAGCTGATGACGGAGTATCCCCACATCGAACACATCCCTTGCGCGACCCATGTCCTTGATCTCCTGATGGAGGACATCGAGAAAATGGGATGGGCGAAGGACATCGTCACGCGCGGGGACACCATCATCTCGTTCGTCCGCAACCATCACTTCACCCGCGGCTACATGCGGAGCAAGCTCGTGAACGGCAGCAAGAGGAAGCAGGTTCTGAAGCCCGCGGGAACCCGCTTCGGCACCAACTACATCGCCATCAACCGCCTCTGTGAAGTGCGCTCCGGCCTGACGCAGATGGTCCTCAGCGATGAGTGGCTCGAGTGGACGACGGCTGCAAAGAGGGTTGGGGCAGATACTTTCAAGAGCAACATCCTCGATGACACGTGGTGGACGCGTGCGGAGTTCTTCGCGAAGCTGATGAAGCTTCCGTTCGTTGTCATGCGCAAGACGGACTCGGATGCAAAAGGCATGATGGGTCGTCTCTACGACCTCATGCTCCAGCTCACCGAGGACATCCGCGACTTCCTCGACGAGCACGCAAAAGGGGTCCTGACAAGGGGAGAGGTGGGAGATATTCGGAAGATCGTGCAGGACCGCTGGGACAACGGGCTGGCGTGCGACATGCACGTGGTTGGTCACATCCTCAACCCCACCAACCAGGAAGAGGGCATCTTCCGCCATGACCTCGAGTGCACGAGGGTCTTCAAGAAGTTCGTGTCCAAGCACTTCGACGACCAGACCATCACCAGGAAGGACGGGGTCGAGCGCCGTGCCTCCCTCGTCATCCAGGAAGGCCTCACTGCCTTCCTAAACCTGACGGGCTGCTTCGGCATGCCCGACGCTATTGCCGACCGTGCGGCAGTGAAGGAGGGCAAGATGACCGCGGTGGCCTGGTGGTCGTGGCACGGGACCGAACATCCCGAGCTCACCACGCTTGCTTGTCGTATGCTCACGCAGCCGGTGTCCGCGTCACTATGCGAGCGGAACTGGGCGAAGTTTGATGCCGTGCATACGGCACGCCGGAACCGTCTCGGCGCGGAGAAGCTTCGGGACCTCGTGTACGTGACGCACAATTGGCAGGTTGTGCACAATTGGCACAAGCTCCCTGAAGGGCAGGGGGGGGTGAAGGGAAACATCGAGGAGCCCCCCACTCCGGCTGGCTACAACGTCGAGGAGGAGGTGGAGGAACCTGAGGAGGGGGAGGATGATGTGATGGCCGATGAGTACTAGTGGATGGAAGGCACCATACATGTGTGGGGGGCAGGGGATCAATGGTGGACTTGTGTGGAGTAGGGGGAGGGAGGGGTGGTAGTAGCATGATTAAGGTGGGGGAAGTAGAAGTGGCAGATTAGTTTTAATGGTTTTTTTTCCTGTAACTTTCATATTAATAAAAAGGGGATGGGGGTTACAACACCCCCCCATCCCCACCTCTTACCCCAAAAAGCTGCCCGGGAAAAACTTTTTTCCTGCCCGGGCAAGCGTATTCTTGTGCGTACCAGACCCCACATGGCCTGCGTTTTGCGTATATACTCTGGCGTATATACAGAATCGTACAAAACGCAAAACGCGTTTTTTCCAACTTAGCTCAGAGGTTAGGGGAGGTTCGGGGGAAAGAGGAGACTTTTGAGTCGACTCAGAGGTCAGGGGAGGTTGGGGGGAAAGAGGACGGGGAGGGGTTGGTTTGCACGTTGCTCTGCTGCCAGCCCCTCCAGCTGCCCCCTCATTGCCGCCTCCGCTGCTGCCTTGTGCGCCACCACCGCCTGGAGGGGAACGGGGGGAGGGGAGAGGAGGAGCGGGGTTGAGGGGGATGGAAGAAAGGGGCTTGAGGCATCTCACAACTCGCCGGCCTCTCAAGCTGCCCCCTCACGGCCGCCTCCGCCATTGCCTCGTGCGTCACCACCGCCTGAGGGTAGAGGGCAAGGAGGTGGGGAGGGGGGGGTTGAACTGCAGAATAGCCAAGGAGAACGAGGGAGATGGGGGAAGAGGGATTGCTGATGTAGCGCCTGTGGGCTGTGTTGATGGGCATTCCGCTGTGCCAAATAACACCCTCGTTTTGACCCAGTAGGTACGAGGTGTTATATCTGACGAGATGGCTGCTGTGGCTCAAGGCAGGGAAGGTGGTGTGAAGATCCAGGCAAGGAGGGGAGCAGCGGAAAAGGACCACGCTTGCGAAAAGCGTGCATCTCGCATCTTTCGTATGTTTGCATTTTCGCACTTCGCATTTCCGTATTTCGCATTACCATTTCGCATTTCGCCAAAAAATGCAGCTCTCGAGCGCGCGAACACTCACCTGGAACCACGCGCGTTTCGCCTCCATGTCTGAAAGGTTCCCCTCCAGCTCCGCCTGTTGCTTTTGGGAACCATGCGCAACTCAAGTGGAAGCACTCACCTGAAACTGCGCCCACTTTTTTATTCACCTGAAACTGCGACCACTTTTTTTTTCACCTGAAATGTCGCCCACTTTTTTATTCACCTGAAACTGCGCCCACTTTTCTATTCACCTGAAACTGCGCCCACTTTTTTATTCACCTGAAACTGCGCCCACTTTTTTATTCACCTGAAACTGCGCCCACTTTTTTATTCACCTGGAACTGCGCGCACTTGGCCTCCATGTCTTGAATGTAACTCTCCAGCTCCGCCAGTTGCTTCCTAGACCATGCACAAAGTAAGTGATTCAGGATAAGCGCGCTCACCTGAAACTGCGCGCATTTGGCCTCCATGTCTTGAATGTAACTCTCCAGCTCCGTCAGTTGCGCCGCCGTCAGCACCACCTGCTTGCGCGCGCTCGACCCGCCCGCGTCTTTTCCGCCGCCCTTCTTCCGCCAGTGCAGGCCACCCATTGCGGAGACGGGCTTGCGCGGGGTCGCAGCGCAGCGCGGCCGGAGCGAACAAACGGTTCTGGCCTGGGCGGTTGAATCCGGAGTTGTACAAACGGTTGTAGCCGGAATGGAATAAACGTTTGTAGCAGGAGAGGTATAAACTGTTGACGCCCGGATGGAATTAACGGTCTAGCCTGCTACGACCGTAAACCGGGGTGTCCAGAGCTACACGTGCACACAGAGAAAAAACGAAGCGGCGTGAGGCACCCGCAGATGGACGGTGGCGATGGAGATGTCGGTAAATGTACAAACGGAGAAGCGTATAGCGAAAGGCCGGCCGACTAGGTCGTGTGAACGCTGGTGATCCAGTTCTTTTCCTCTAGTGTTCGAGGAATTTATCTCTAACTACCATGGTGAGAGCAGCGTGCACGTGGAAATCCCAAGGCCCGCTGATTGGAGATTGGTACGCGGTAATCCCAAGGTGAACTTGTTGCATTTTGCCCTCACACGCGCACTCGCACTGGCAATCCCAATCCCCGTTGCAAGGACAAATCTTGTCAGTCACACAACGAATCCGCTTCGCCCGAATACTATCAGCCTCACTGCCACTCTACAGAGTGGTGGGTGTTTAGACGTGGACAGGTTAACGAAGTGAATACAGTTCACTGTTTCCAAAAACGTTATAAACAGCAGAAACATGTTTAAATTCCAGTCAATACCCAATCTACAAGCACAGAAAGCTAACAAACTAAAAAACGACAGAAAACAAGAGGCAAAAAGCGAACATGTAATAACAAAGTAAAGACCCATGCCAAGCCAAAGTCCACGAAGCAGTCTTCCTTCCAGTCAACTCAACTCGTAATACTGGTATCATTCCAGCCTCCTCCTTACGTATATGTACACGTCGTGTTATTATCAGCCTCACAGCATCTCCATCAAGCACCAACCGACGAAGACTTGCTCATTTTCGGCCACCAATCCAGCAGGGATCCAGGCGCGATGCTCCAATCAGGCGTAAGGAACTCCCCTCCACCCATCTCCCACCCCTCCAACTCCTCCTCTTTCCCCTCCCCTCCCTCCTGCACATCCAGCTCCTTCCCCAGTTCGCCCAGCTGAGAGGAAGAGAGACTAGCAATGGGCAGCACACGCACAATACGAAGAATGTCCGTAAGGCTCACCACCCCCTGTAAATGCATCTCCACACTTCCCCCACCCACTCCTCCTCCTCCAACCCCTCCCATAGGCGACCCAGCTACACCTTGTAAGAGGCTAGCAGCAGCAAGTCTCGCCCCCTCTTCTCCTCCTGCTACAGCCGGACCCTCGTCCGCTACAGCCGGTTTGTCCTCTTCTATAGCCGGCAGCACTGTAGCAGCGTGCGGCTTCGGCTTGCCGTTGCCAGCATGACCCTGGTCTTCTAGGTTGTCCTTGAAGATGCTTGTAGAGGGGATGCGAGGGGAGGGCATGGGCGAGGGCTGCTCCTGCTGGTCCACCACCCACACGCGGTGCACCCTCTCCCTCACCATGCGGTGCAGCACCCGCCTCAGACTCGTGTTGCTGTAAGAAGGGAAGGGAAAAATGAGGTAAGTCAGGGGAATGAGGGAGAGAGGAGATGAGAATGGCCAGTGTAGGTCCACCACATCACCCACACTACAGGTACACTCACCATGCGATGCAGCGCACCTTCTGTAGTTCCGATGCCACCTAGTGCAGTTATGTGATATCGGTAACGCTCGGCTGGCGCAGGTGACAACTGGTGCAGTTGACAGCTGGTGCAGGAGACAGCTGGTGCAGGTGATAACTGGTGCAGGTGACAACTGGTGCAGGTGACAACTGGTGCAGGTGACAACTGGTGCAGGTGACAACTGGTGCAGATGACAATTGGTGCAGATGACAACTGATGCAGATGACAACTGGTGCAGGTACGACCTATCATGCTGTCACCGGGAGCAGATGATGAGGTGGCGGTGCCATGTGCCCCTGAGCGCTCAGAAATTGCCCCATGGTCATTGCTCTAAGGTTCTCAAACCCCTCGTTACCCACCTGTACCGCACTCACCAGGTAAAGGTACCTTATACAGCGTGCTTCGTTTTGCTGCTACCACTACCCGTAACGCTCACCGAGTGCACGTGATGAGGTGGCGGTGCCATGTGCCCCTGACAGCACAAAGGAGCTGCCCCAGGGTGAGGCGATAACTGATGCAGGCACCACCTGGCAATGCAAGTCACTCACCGAGTGCACGTGATGAGGTGGCGGTTCTGTGCCGTCCTGACAGCGCTCAGGAACTGACCCACGGTCACCTCCCCCAGGTCCTCAAACTCCTCCTCACCCACCCGCACCGCAGTCTTCTTCGCATGGTGACCCTTCCTCTCCTTCCCCTTCTTCCCGTGCTTCCCCTTCCCCTCTTCCTTCTTCCCCTCTTTCTTCTCCTCCTTTAACCCCTCCTGCCCCTTCTTCCCCTCCACCCCCCCTTCCAGCACGTGAATGCAGCGCACGTCAGAGGCGGAGAGAGTGTCGATCAGAACCTCGCCGCACGCGTGGAAGCCGGAATGGGGCTCAGACGCATGTGCAGCCACCACAGGGAGTGCAGTGACCTAAGGAGGGAGAGGGAAAGATAGACAGGAGCACACACAGCAGCACGTCAGAGGCAGAGAGAGAGTCAATGGGGACCCCCCCGCTGGCGGGGATGCCTGAGTGGGGCTCGGACGCATGTGCCACCACCACTGGCAGTTCGGTAACCTGATGGAAGGGGGAATGATATAGAGGGGAACAAGAAGAGCACGTCAGAAGCAGAGAGAGAGAGAGAGAGAGAGAGAGAGAGAGAGAGAGAGAGAGAGAGAGAGAGAGAGAGAGAGAGTCAATGAGGACCCCCCCGCAGGCGGGGACGCATGTGCGGACCGCCCACCACAGGCAGCGCAAAAAACCTGACAGAGGGGGGTGGATGGGAAGAACGGTGGATGGGAGGAGGGAGTATCGATGAGCGTTCCCGCCTAGAAAAAATAGTTTTGAGATCAAATCAGCACACGTATGGAGGGCTGAAGGTGCCTCCAACAGACACGTAGCTCTGAACAGGGAGGGACACACAGCCCCGCACCAGCTCTGAATCAACAGCTCTCTCAAAAATCAACTCTCGCTCTGTTGAGAGAGCTGTTGATTCGCAGGGAGGGACGAGAGTTGATTTTTGTTTGACTGTTTTGTCTTGCTTTTTTTTTTTTTTTTTTTTTGGTCCTAAACCAAAGAAGCACATTCACTCGCAGTGGCAGGAGCACTGCTGCTGACGAGGGCTTTAAGCTAAGCTGAAACGGACCTGGTGGCGCCTGAAGAGGCGGAAGGCGTGCAGCAGAGTGTCAGACGGCGTTATGGTGACCACCAACGGCCACACCAGTCCCAGATCATCCACCCTGCAAGTAAACGAAGGAAATGGGAGGGGTGTTTGGAATGTCAGAGGCCGTTATGGTCACTACATTACAATCTGTGACAGCACACGATACTCCTCGCCCACCTTTTGAGACGTCTCAAAAGCAATCTGTGACAGCACACGATACTCCTCGCCCACCACACCTGCAGTCACACGAATAGACCACCACCCTTTCTCCCCTCTTCCGCCTTTCCATTCCCCACTTCCCACCTCAACCCACTCACCTCTTAGCCAGCGCCAGCCCCATCAACCCTTCATGCGACAGCAGGAATGTAGCGACGTCCATCTGGGACAGCACGCGATACTCCTCGCCCACCACGCCCCCAGTCACCTGAACCAATCACCACCCAACCCTCCCCTCGTCTCTCACACTTCTTCTAATCACTCACTTCTTAGCCAGTGCAAGCCCCATGAGCCCCTCGTGCGACAGCAGGAACGTGGCGACGTCCATCTGAGACAGCACGCGATACTCCTCGCCCACCACGCCGCCCGTCACCTCGCTGTGCACCGCCAGAGGCATCGGCGGCACTGCCCACACCGCAGGTACCACCAGCACCACAACTCCCTCCCCTTTTCCTTCCCACGCACCTCTCCCCACACTCACTTCTTAGCCAGTGCAAGCCCCATGAGCCCCTCGTGCGACAGCAGGAACGTGGCGACGTCCATCTGAGACAGCACGCGATACTCCTCGCCCACCACGCAGCCCGTCACCTCGCTATGCACCGCCAGAGGCATCGGCGGCGCCGGCACCACCGCCGCTCCTGCTCCCTTCCCCTCCCCCTCCTCCCCGTCACCCTTCTCCTCCTTCTCTGCGCGCCTCTCCGCCAGGGAGGTGGGCTTGGGGGGAGGCTCGGTGAGAGGGAGCAGTTCGTGCTCGCCCGGGCAGATGTTGGGCACGAGGCCGCGATGGAAGCCGCCCGCGCCTAGCAGCAGCATCGCCTGCCACACACTGGTGCAGGGGAAAAGGGGGAAGTATAGGGGACGGGGGTGGAGGGTGGAGAGGCATGGTTGAATGCGTGCAAGTGGAGCAGGTCGTGTCGTGCTCGCCCCTACAGACAGAGGTGGCAGTTCTGACAGCGGGAATGGCGTCGGTGAGGGGGAGCAGGTCGTGCTCGCCCCGGGCAGATGTTGGGCACGAGGCCGCGGTGGAAACCCCCCGCGCCTCGCAGCAGCATCGCCTACCACACACTGAGAGGGCGCGCAGGGGTGGAGGAGGGGGAGAGGGCAGAGAGGGGGGAGAGGAAAAAAAAGAGAGATTTTTTTCAGCGTCTCAAAAACCGCCCAGAAGCCACTGGCAATGCTGATCGTCCTCAGCACGCCCTGTTACACATTCACAAGCCGCAGGCTTATTTTTCGAAACGTCTCAGAAAATGTCTCCTTACACATTCAGAAGCGACAGCCTCGCTTGATTCTACCCTCCCTTCCTCCTCGCTCCCTTGCTCCCTCCCTCCCTCCCTCTCTCTCTCTCCCTCTCTCCCTCCACCCTACCCCCCCTATTTCTCTCCCTTCCCCCCTCTCGTGCTTGCCTACCTGGCATGGGGATCCACGACGACCATCTGACGTGTCTCCTCGGATTTACCCATGACGTCAGCGACCTTCACGTCGCACAGGGTCTTCGCCACCATTTCGCCGTCGTCGCCACGCGCGCCCTTGTTACCATCCCACTCCGCGAGGAAGATCGCCACGTCCACCACCGAAAGCTGCGAGCGAGGGCATGCGGGGAGAACGGGTGCAGAAAAAGCAGCGGCGAAAAAAACAGGGGTGGAAAAAACGTGAGGGAAAAAACAGGGGGGGAGAAATTTAGTGGCGGAAGGAACGGGGGCAGAAAGAGCAGGGGCGGAAGGCGCAGGGGCGGAAAAACAGACGCAGGCGGAACGGGGGGGGGGTAAGGGGGGGGAACAAGCGGAGGTGGAATGAAGGCGGGAAAAACAGGGCGGAACGAGCTTGAGCGACAGGCGACGACTCACCATCCGACGAATCGCATGGGCGACAAGCGACGACTCACCATGCCGATGAATTGCACGCGCGACGTGCGAAGACGACTCACCATGCCGACGAATCGCATGGGTGACGGATGCACCATGATGGACTGCAAAGCTTGGGGCTTCTTGAGCGACGGCTTCTCGGTTTGGTGCGGTGCAGAGAGGCGACGGTTGCGCACGGGCATCGACGTCACGTGGTGCTCCTGAAACAGCTTCAGCGCTGTTGTTAACGAGTCGTCGGCATCGACTGTAACGAGCGTCCTCTTACCGAGGACGAGCTCCTTCACTTCAGACAACTTGAGCACGCGAGCCATGACGATTAAATCAGTCAAACCAGTCAAACGAAGCTGAAAACGATGATGCTTCGACGTCAAACGATGCAGAACGCGAATCGGAATCTAATTTCAAGCCACTAGAGAATAGGCGCTCCAAAATATTGTTCCCGCTTTACTAGCATATGCTCTCTCACAGAAGCGGCTACAACACAAGAACGAATCCAAGGAACAAACGGCGGAAAGTAGAAAACGGAGCAGAAAGAAGGACCCACAGCAATCAAATACGTAACAGCAACAAGAAACTGAGAGATTCACAACCCACTATCAGCCTATCTTGGCCCCCCTGGCTTCCGCGCCGCATCGAGCAAATTCCGCCTTCCACATTTTCTTGGCCTGGTGTGCTTGATGTTTTGCACCCATTTCGATAGAGATGAGTGGGTGCAAGGCGCATGCGAAGCTGGTAACCTGCTGTGCGAACTTAGAGCGCCGCGCAACCTCGTGAAACACAGTGCAACATGGTCTCGTCCAGTCGCTTATACTTTTCGTCAGCCCCTGTCCCAGGAATGAATCTGTTGCAAAAGCCAATTATTTTGTGCCCGAATGTCAAAAGCACCTCCTGCCAGAAATGCATAGGCTGCCCCACGCCCGGAACAGAGAGATTCGAAACAGTGGTCACCGAAAGAACTGCCGGGGAAATTGCGCCAAATCGGTCAGGGCGGGTGGGCATCAATCGTTGATGATTGTGCTTTTTGCATGTGCTGGCAGCTGCCCGCCAAAAACCATCTGGACATGGATGAGGCCTGGGAGTCGGACACGTGACGCTGACTCGGATGGCACAAGGAGATGGCACAGCTGGAAGAGTTGCTGACGCTAGAATTCCTATTTCTGGCGTGGCGTTCTGAGGCACCCAGATGAATCAGGATCACTCTCAAACACTAAGAAATACAAATAAACGAGTTCAGTATACTTGGGCACAACAGTTAAAGATTAACACTTCAGTTCTTGAAGCTCCTTACTCATAACTGGCGATCTGAAGTAGTGTTAGTACAAAAAAAAACAAAAAAAAACCGTCAAAAAGAAACATGTTAGATAGCAAGAAATTGGAGGATAAAAAGATGGATTCTAGAAAAAGAAGGGAGGGGGTTGTGGGGAGGGCAGGGGGAGGGGGGAGGGGGGGGGGGGGGGGGGGGGGGGGGGGGGGAGGGGAGGGAAGGTGGGAGCGGGGGTGGGTGTTAGACCATACTGAAGGCTCCTAGTCAACTCACCTTTGACAGTAGGCTTTCGTTTTCCGTCTCGTATTTCCTCTTGAGCTCTATGAACTGCGCCAAGGCAGCCTCCATCCAGACCTTATCAGCCCGTAACTGTGTATATGATACAAGGCACGTGCAGGCAGCACACAAGGTAAAGAAAATGGAAGAAAAATACATGGCTCAGTAACACAATCCATTCATTTTCAGAGAACTATTTCTTTGCATCTGCCACACCTCTTCCACTTCCCACCCATGCAATGAACCCCAAAACCTCAACCCAACTTACGTGACTCAACCTTTCAGCTCCCACACCCACCCAACCTCTCACATCCCACCCTTCCCCACCCTTCCCCACCCTTCCCCACACCCACACCCACACCCACACCCCCCCACACTCCCCACACCCAGTCACACTCCCCACACACCCTCATAGCCCCGTTAACCTGCTCCAGTGCTGCAGCAGATTCTGCTGCTCTGCCACATGCCCTCGTACTCCTGATGGCACGGGTGGCATCTGATGGCATCATCCCACACCCTAAAACTCCCCAGTACCCCTCAGAACCCCTCAGAACCCCTCAGACCCCACAACTCCACACACCCTCGTAGCCCCCCCTAACCTGCTCCAGTGCTGCCAGCTGTTTCTACTGCCCTACCATGGCCTGCCACATGCCCTCGTACGTACTCCTAATTGCATGGGCGACATGTGGTGGCATCATCCCACAATTCCCTCAGACCCCCTTAGAAACCCCCAGAACCCCTCAGAACCCACAACAACCCGAACCCCACCTGCTCCAGTGTTGCCAGTTGATTCTGCTGCTCCGCCAAAGTCTGACACATGGTCTTGTACCCCCAAACCCCCAAGTACCCCTCAGAACCCCTCAGAAACACCAACGACCCCCCCTCACCTGCTCCAGTGTTGCCAGTTGATTCTGCTGCTCTGCCAGGGTCTGACGCATGGTCTCGTACTCCTGATGGCATGGCCGGCAAGTTGGGCGGCAAGGGCGGCAAGGTGGCCGACATGGAACGGAATGTGTGGCACAGGTGGTACCAGTGGCATGGGATGGCATATGGAGCACGTAGTATGGGATGCAGAGTGGAAAGAAAGTGGGGACATGAAGGAACGTTGGGGAAGACGAGTAGGTGCGACTTATAACAGACAAGTGCGAAATTGCCTCACCATCCATCATACACCATGCATCATCCACCATACGCCATCCTCCATCCACCATACACCATGCACCATACACCATCGACCATACACCTTACACCATACACCATCCACCATCCACCATCCACAATCCGCAATCCGTCCGCCATCCGCTATCCACCATCCACTTGTGCTGCCACCATCTCCCCTTCTACCCCTCCTCACGCCCCACATATGACACACACCCTCCTTACCTTTCTAGACATCTCCATCCACACGCCATCCACCATCCACTTGTGCTGCCGCCTCCCCGCCACCCCCCAGTCAGCCACTGTTGACAGCGGCAGCGGTGGGCCTGCTGATGTGCCTGCGAAGAAATCCCACAGGCCCGAGGGGCTGAGGGGAAAGAAAGGGGGGAAAGGGAGAACGGGAGAGGCAATTAGCCGTCACTGAGAGTGGCAGCGGTGGGCTCGCAGACGTGCTTGAGGAGAAGTCAAACAGACCCGTGGGGCTGGGGGGGGGGAGGGGAGGGAGGGAGGGGCAGATTGGTGTGTAACAACGCACCATTAATAACCCAAACCGATCAAGAGCAGGGCGCATGTTCCTTCTGTGAACAAAAGGACTATGCTGCAACAAGCATCCTGCCTCCTTGCTTGTTCGTGCTTCAACGAGCGTGCTTGGCTCCAAGGAGCGTGCTTGGCTTCGAGGAGCGTGCTTGGCTTCAAGGAGCGTGCTTGGCTTCGAGGAGCGTGCTTGGCTTCAAGGAGCGTGCTTGGCTTCGAGGAGCGTGCTTGGCTTCGAGGAGCGTGCTTGGCTTCGAGGAGCGTGCTTGGCTTCGAGGAGCGTGCTTGGCTTCGAGGAGCGTGCTTGGCTTCGAGGAGCGTGCTTGGCTTCGAGGAGCGTGCTTGGCTTCGAGGAGCGTGCTTGGCTTCGAGGAGCGTGCTTGGCTTCGAGGAGCGTGCTTGGCTTCGAGGAGCGTGCTTGGCTTCGAGGAGCGTGCTTGGCTTCGAGGAGCGTGCTTGGCTTCGAGGAGCGTGCTTGGCTTCGAGGAGCGTGCTTGGCTTCGAGGGCAGGTGCTTGGCTTCAAGGAGCGTGCTTGGCTTCAAGGAGCGTGCTTGGCTTCAAGGAGCGTGCTTGGCTTCAAGGAGCGTGCTTGGCTTCAAGGAGCGTGCTTGGCTTCAAGGAGCGTGCTTGGCTTCAAGGAGCGTGCTTGGCTTCAAGGAGCGTGCTTGGCTTCGAGGAGCGTGCTTGGCTTCGAGGAGCGTGCTTGGCTTCGAGGAGCGTGCTTGGCTTCGAGGAGCGTGCTTGGCTTCGAGGAGCGTGCTTGGCTTCGAGGAGCGTGCTTGGCTTCGAGGAGCGTGCTTGGCTTCGAGGAGCGTGCTTGGCTTCGAGGAGCGTGCTTGGCTTCGAGGAGCGTGCTTGGCTTCGAGGAGCGTGCTTGGCTTCAAGGAGCGTGCTTGGCTTCAAGGAGCGTGCTTGGCTTCAAGGAGCGTGCTTGGCTTCAAGGAGCGTGCTTGGCTTCGAGGAGCGTGCTTGGCTTCGAGGAGCGTGCTTGGCTTCGAGGAGCGTGCTTGGCTTCGAGGAGCGTGCTTGGCTTCGAGGAGCGTGCTTGGCTTCGAGGAGCGTGCTTGGCTTCGAGGAGCGTGCTTGGCTTCGAGGAGCGTGCTTGGCTTCGAGGAGCGTGCTTGGCTTCGAGGAGCGTGCTTGGCTTCGAGGAGCGTGCTTGGCTTCAAGGAGCGTGCTTGGCTTCGAGGAGCGTGCTTGGCTTCAAGGAGCGTGCTTGGCTTCAAGGAGCGTGCTTGGCTTCGAGGAGCGTGCTTGGCTTCAAGGAGCGTGCTTGGCTTCGAGGAGCGTGCTTGGCTTCGAGGAGCGTGCTTGGCTTCGAGGAGCGTGCTTGGCTTCGAGGAGCGTGCTTGGCTTCAACGAGCGTGCTTGGCTTCAAGGAGCGTGCTTGGCTTCAAGGAGCGTGCTTGGCTTTGAGGAGCGTGGAACTCACAGGGTGGCGTCGTGAGGAATGACAGTGCCGCCGCCCTTGTGCGCCGGGCTTGGGCTCCCTTGCTTGCTCGGGCTAAATCGATTCGTGGCACGCCTCTGCTCGGGGCTGCTTCCACTGCTCTCTGATTGGGCTGCTGGTCCTGCTCTCTCTGTCGTACCTGCCCCGCCCGCCCCTACACCAGACGCCCCCGCACCACATGCCCCTGGCCCACCTGCAACACCTGCCCCTGCCCCTGCACCTGCCCCTGCACCTGCCCCTGCACCTGCCCCACCAGCTGCCCCACCACCTGCCCCACCACCTGCCCCTGCACCACATGGTTCCGAAGGCTTTCTCTGACCCTGCTCCGTGTCCATGTACAGCGAAGGGGTGGATGCAGAGAGGTGCTGAGACGAGGCAGAGGTGGAGGGAGGGTGGGCGAGGGACCAGGCAGAGAGGGAGTGGGAGAGGGAGGAAGAAAGTGAGGAGGAGAGAGAGGACGATTGAGAAGAAAAGGTCGGGGAGGAGATGAACTGAACAGGCTTAGGTGCTGCTTGTGCTGGTGCTGGTTCTGTTCCTGTGGCTGCTCCTGTGGCTGCTCCTGGTGGTGCTCCTGGTGCTGCTACTGGCGTCGTTCCAGCAGCTGCGGTGGGTGCTTCCGAGCCGGCATGCAGCATGTGAGCAGCACGGCGGGTCAAGGCCTCTAGCTGGGAGTCGTGCCATGCGAAGGCCTCAGCTGCTGCCGCGTCCACTGATGCATACGGCTCACTCGCCCTGTGGAAAGACATGAGGTGAGAGAGGGAGAAGGGAAGGAGCATGCAGCATGTGAGCAGCGCGGTGGGTCAAGGCCTCCAGCTGGGAGTCGTGCCATGCGAAGGCCTGCGCTGCTGCCTCGTCCACTGATGCATACGGCTCACTCGCCCTGGCAGAACGAGAGGTACAAGGAGAGAGAGAGGTGGAGGGGTGTGTCACTTGGTCACACACATGAGAGGCATGCAGTGAGGATCGAGATGACCATTTTGGAAGCACATCAGGAACTTTTGAGGCGCCTAAAAAACATCTTGTGAGGCGCCTAAAAGAAGAAATAAAGAATCTTAGGCACCTCAAAAGGCATGCAATGAGGATCGAGATGACCATTTTGGAAGGATATGATAAAAGGTGGGTCAGGGGCAATAGAAATGGCAGGGAGACAAGGAATGAGAGAGTGAGGAAGGGGGGCAATGAGAAAGAAATGAGAACAAGAGGACGGAAATGATGGGAGAGGGAGAAGACATTAACACGTGAAAAGCACGTGTGAGCGTGTATACTCACGCAAAATCGCGTTTCTCCATCCCCGTTATAAGCGTCTTCAGTGCAGCGTCCCGCGCAGCCCTCTCCCGTGCTGCCTGCTCTACTATCCCTTCCACCCGCTGCCGCTCCTCCTGTAGCTGCTGCACCTTGGCCGCTAGAGCACGCTGGGATGGGGAAGAGGAAAAGAGCGAAAGAGGGAAAGAGGGAGAAGAGGAAAGAGGCGGGCAAGACGGGGAAGGAGGGGGAAGAGGATGGAAAAGCTGCTACACCATCCTCTCTACCTGCTGCCATTCCTACTGCAGCTGCTGCACCTTGGTTGCCAGAGCACGCTGGGATGGGGAGAGAGACGAGCAGGGGAGAGACGGGAGGAGTTCTGCGGCGCCTCAAAACTTGCTGAGCCTTGGCCGCCAGGGCACGCGGGAATGGGGAGAGAGGGGAGCAGTGGAAGGCACGTGGGGAGATTGAGTAGGGAGAGGATGAAGGATTGCATATGAACAAGCTATTTGAGGCGCCTATAAAACACGGACAAGCAGGGAGCAAAGGAGAGCAGCGCAAGGGATGGGGATAGCATGGATGGATGGAGGGAGTGAGGAGGAGGGAACGCACCTGGAACCTTCCACAGACGAACTCCATGCTGGTGATATACGACCCTAGCTCCCTCACTTGCTCCTTGCCTATCACACACACTTCACTTCCTTGCCTCCTCTCCTCCTCCTCCCTAGCTCTGCTCTCCTCCTCTCTCGCCTTCCTCTCCTCCAATCTGGCCCGCTGCTCCATCACTCTCGCTCGCCTCTCTCGCTGCACCACTCCCTTCCACTGAGCACCCAGCGCCTTCACTCTCCCTATCCACTCCACCGTCCTCCTCCCCCACTCCTCCTCTCTCGCTTGCCATTCCTTCTCTCGCTCCCTCCACTCCTTCTCTGCCCGTTCTCTCGCTGCCACCTCTCCTCTATCCTCATCGTCACCTCCTTGCTTCGCCACCACTTCATCTTCTCTCTCCTCGCCCTCCTTCCCCTCCTCTTTCCCCCGATTCGTCCCCACCTCCTCCCCTACGGTTTCCTCCGATTTCTCTTCCTCCATCCTCCCCTCCTTCCACTTCTCCTCAGCCTCTTTCAACTTTCTCTCTCTTTCCTCCAAATCATCCATTAACCTCTTCCTCTCCATTTCCAGTTGATTTCTCACTTCCTCCTTCTCTCGCTCCACCTCCTCCCTGACTCTCTCCCTCTCCTCCCTCACTCTCTCCCTCTGCTCCCTCACTTCCTCCCTCTCCCTGTCCACATCTGCCAGAGCTCTCTCCCTCTCTTGTTCCACCTCTTTCCTCACTCTCTCACCCTCTTTCTCCCCCTCTTCCCTCACTCTCTCCCTCTCCCTATCAACTTCCTCAGCCAACCTTCTCCTCTCCTCCACCCACTCCGCCTCCCTCCTCTCTCTCTCCCTTTCCCTCTCCCTCTCCCCTTCCTCCACTCTTCCCTTCCACATCTCCTCAATCTGACTCACCAGCACTTCCATCCCACACCTCTTCTCCTCCCACTCTCTCCTCATCTCCCTCTCCTTCTCCTCCCACTCCCTCCTCACTCTCTCAACCACCCCTTCCACCTCCCTCCTCTCCCTCTCCATCTCCCTCACTCTCTCCTCAATCTCCCGCAACCTCCCCTCAGCCACAACCCTCTGTTCAGTCTCCACCTGTCTGGATACCACCTCCCTCCGGAGCTGCTCCCGAACCTGCTCCAGCTGCTCCCTAACCAGTTCCACCTCCTCCCGAGCCTTTTGCCAAGCCTCCGACACCTGTTTCCAAGCCTGCTGCCTCACTCTCTCAACCTCCTCGTTACCCTCCTCCCTAACCCTCTCAATCTCCTCCCTACCCTCCTCCCTAGCCCTCTCCACTTCCTCCCTACCCTCCTCTCTAACCCTCTCCACCGCTTCCAACCCCTCTCCTGCAACCCTCTCTATCTCCTCTTTTAAGCTAACCACTGTTCCTTCCAGCACTATTCGTGCCATCCTGCCCTCCTCCTCTGTCCTCGCTACAAGCATCTTCGCTTCTTCCACAAGCCCTGTCAACTCATTCACCTCTTTGCCCCTCACTTCCAACTCCTCCTCTTTCCTCGCTAAAAGCATCTTCGTTTCTCCCACAATCCCCATCAGTCTCTCAACCTCTTTGCTCCTCTTCTCTACCTCCTTGCCCCTCATTTTTAACTCCTCCTCTTTCCTCAATACAATCATCTTCGTTTCTTCCACAACACCCATCAGTTCCTCGACCTTTTTGCCCTTCTCTTGTACCTCTTTGCACCTCACTTCCAGCTCCTCCTCTTTTACTCTTAGCTCCTCCCTCTGCCTCTTCACCTCCCTCTCCTTCTCCCTCACCTCCTTCTCAGCCTTCCCAAGCCTCTCACTCACTCCCTCAATCTCCACCTCCAACTCCCTCACTCGATCCCCCACTCCCTCCCTCATTCTCTCTACCTCCTCCTCCAGTGCTACAACCTCCTCTCGTGCAGCTTCCGTTTCTGCAACAGCCGCCTTCCTCGCAGCTTCACTCTCTGCTACAGCCACCATCCTTGCAGCTTCAGCTGCTACAGCTGCCTTCCGTGCAGCTTCAGCTTCTGCTACAGCCTCCTGGAGCCTTTTGTTGACCACGTCAGCATCAGCTCTTGCGGCGTCAGCCTCCGCCCTCGCAGCGTCAGCATCGGCCCTTGCCATGTCAACATCAGCCCTCGCTGCGTCAGCATTAGACTGGACAAGCGCTGTAATCTCCTCCTCCATCTGTCTCCTCACTGCTTCGCCTTGCCCCTCCTCTCTCCCCACCTCCTCTTTAACCACTTGCACCCTTACCCCTTGTCCTGCTCCTTCCTTTGCTAGACTCTCTTTCAGTCTAACCAGCACCCCTCTCCACCCATCCCTCTCCCTCCTCACCCCTTCCAACTCCTCCTCTCGCTCCCTCACTCTCTCCTCCAGACCACCCACCTCCCTCATCAACCTCATCCTCTCCCCCTCACTCTCCTCCCACTCCCTCTCCACCTCCTCCATTCTCTTTCTCACTCGCTCCACCTCCTCCTCTCCCTCCCTCAGACTCCTCTCCTCCTCTCTCAACCGCTTGACTAACATCTCCATATCCCTCTCTACATTACCCCTTTCCCTCTCAGCCTCCTCTCTCCTCTCCTCAGCCTTTTCCATCTGTCTCTGTAGCACACTCACTTCCCCTTCCATCTCCTCCACTCTCCCCCCCATCTCCCTCACTCCCCTCAACCCCTCCTCCAGCTCCTCCCTCACACTCTCCCTCTCTCTCTCCACCTCCTCCCTCCTCCCCCTCTCCTCCTCCACCCTCCTCTCTGCAGCCCCAACCCTCTCAGATAACACCTCCCCTTCAGTAGTAAGAACCTGCACTCTCTCTCGCAGCTTCCTTGCTTCTTCCTTCAATTCCTTGCACTCTCTCACAAGCCCTTCCCTCTCTGTCTTCAATGCAGAAAGCTCCTGCACTCTTTCACTCAGCTCCTCACTCGCTTTCACGTTTTTCACACGCTCACTCTCACACTCCTTGCTCAACCTCATCCTCTCCCTCTCTCCCTCTTCTCTCGTCTTCACACTCTCCCTTTCAATCTCCCTCACTCTCTCTTTCAAACCCGCCACCTCCTTTTGTAGACTCTCCTTCGCTTTAACCACACGTGCCAGCTCAGCATCCAAGCCACGCCTCGGCTTGCGCTCCTTTTCCAGCTCAGCATAGAGCCATTCCACCTCACCAGCCAGTCGTTCCACCTCAGCAACTAGCCCCTCCATCTCCCTCACTTTCCCCTCCATTTCACACTGCACCACTCCCACTCTCTCCTCCCATTCCGCCCTCTCTCTCTGCAGCACCGCTATCTGCTGCTCCTTCTCTTGCACACACGCCTGCAGCGCTACCACCTGTTGCTCCTTCTCCTCTCCATCCCTCACCTTAACCTCCAACACTTCAACCGCTCTCAGCATCTCTTCCTTATCTCTCTGCAGCACCGCTATCTGCTGCTCCTTCTCTTGCACACACGCCTGCAGCGCTGCGACCACCTGTTGCTCCTTCTCCTCCCTATCTCTCATCCTCACCTCCAGCTCTTCAACCACTCTCAACACCTCTGTTTTCTCCTTCTGCAGACGTGCAACTTCCTCAACCCTCGCAGCTATCTCCCTCTCACTCCTCTCCACCGCCTCTTTCTCACGCGCAACATCCATCTCTCTCTCCCTCACCCTCGCCTCCAGCTCTTCAACCACTCTCAACACCTCTGTTTTCTCCTTCTGCAGCAGGGCAACTTCCTCGGCCCTCGCAGCTATCTCCCTCTCACTCCTCTCCACCGCTTCTTTCCCACTCGCTGCCATCCTCCCTCTAGCCTCTTCCCACTCTTCCCTCTCTCTCTGCACCATCAGTATTTGCTGTTCCTTCTCTTGCACAAGAGCCAATACCTGCTGCTCCTTCTCTTTCACTCCTGCTTGCAACACGGATATCTGCTGTTCCCTCTCCTCAACTCCTGCTTGTAACGCAAATAGTTGCTTATCCCTTTTTTCAACTACTGCTTGTAACGCGGACATCTGCCTTTCCCTCTCCTCTACTCCTGCTTGTAACAAGGATATCTGCTTCTCCCTCTCTTCTACTCCTGCTTGTAACGCAGCAGCTTGCATCACACTCTCTTCCACTTGGCTCTCCAGCACTTTCACCTGCTGCTCTTTCTCTCCTACACCTGCTTGTAACGAGAATACCTGCTCCTCCTTCTCATCCACACTCGCCTGTAGTGCCCCCATTTGCCGCACCTTCTCTTCCAAATCATCCTGTAACGAGGATACCTGCTTCTCCCTTTCCTGAACACTTTTTTGAAGAGTCCCAACGTCCTTCGCCCTCTCTTCCAACTCAGCTTGTAACAAGGATACCTGCTCCTCCTTCTCACCCACACTCGCCTGCAAAACCCCCATTTGCCTCAACTGCTCTTCCTTATCAGCTTGTAACAAAGATATCTGGCCTTCCTTCTCTTGCACACTTGCCTGTAGCGCCCCCATTTGCATCACGCTTTCTTCCAAGTCAGCCTGTAACGAGGATACCTGCTCCTCCTTCTCCTGCAGACTTGCCTGCAGCACTCCCATTTGTTTAACCCTCTCTTCTAATTGAGCTTGTAACGAGGATACCTGCTCCTCCTTCTCCTGCACACTCGCCTGCAGCACCCCCATTTGCTTTACCCTCTCCTCCATCTCTGCCTGTAACGAGGATATCACCACCTCCTTCTCCTCCACACTCACCTGCAACCCACTCACTTGCCTCACCCTCTCCTCCAACTGACCCTGTAACGAGGATACCTGCTCCTCTTCCTCCTTCACACTCGCCCGCAGCACCCCCAATTGCTTCAAACTCTCGTCTATCTCGGCTTGTAACGAGGATATTTGTCCTTCCTTCTCCTGCACACTCGCCTGCAGCCCACTCACCTGCCGCACCTTCTCTTCCAACTCAGCTTGTAACGAGGATACCTGCTCCTCCTTCTCCTGCACACTTGCCTGTAACACTCCCATTTGCCTCACCCCATCTTCCAGCTCAGCTTGTAGCGAGGATACCTGCCCCTCCCTCTCCTCCACCCTCGCCTGCAGCCCACTCACTTCCCTCACCCTTTCTTCCAACTCAGCTTGTAACGAGGATAATTGTCCTTCCTTCTCCTGCACACTCGCCCTCAGCCCACTCACCTCCCTTACCTTTTCTTCCACCTCTGCTTGTAACGAGGATGCCTGCCCCTCCCTCTCCTCCACTCTCGCCTGCAGCCCACTCACTTCCCTCGCCCTCTCTTCCAACTCAGCTTGCAACGAGGATATTTGTCCTTCCTTCTCATCCACTCTCGCCTGCAGCCCACTAGCTCGCCTCACCCTCTCTTCCACCTCGCCCTGCAGTGCATACACCTGCCGGCCCTTCCCTTCCACTGCCGATTCCAGCACCAGAATCTTTGCATCCCGCACCAACACCATCGCCTCTTTCTCCCGCACAGTACCCTCCTTTTCCGCCAAACGTGCACGTACCACCTGCATCTCCTCCCTCTCCTTTCGGAGATCATCAAGAGCCTCCTTCAGCTGCTGCCTTCCTTCCTCCAGTTGCCGCCTCCCCTCATCCACCTGTGCTTCCAGCGCTGTTACCTGCTCCCTCTCCTTACGAACCTCCGCTCGAGCCTCCTCCAACTGCTGACTCTTCTCCACCAATTGCCGCCTCCCCTCCTCCACCTGTGCCTGTAGCGCTGCCACCTGCTCCATCGCCTTTCGACCCTCCTCAACACTCTCCTCCAACTGCCTCCTCCCCTCCCCCATCTGTGCTTCCAGCACTGCCACCTGCTCCCTCGCCTCTCTCAACGTCTCACCAGCCTTTTCTTGCATCACTGCGCTTTCCTCTCTCAACACTTCCATCTCTCCCTTCAACACTTTAATCTCTTGCTGCTTTCCGCTCATCTGTGCTTCCAGCGCTGTCACTTGCTCCCTCGCCTCTCTCAACACCTCGCCAGCCTTACCTCGCATCACTGCACTTTCCTCTCTCAACACCTCCATATCTCCCTTCAACACTTTGATCTCCTGCTGCTTGCTGCTCACTGCCTCAGTCAAGAGCAGAACTTTCTTCTCTTTGTCCTCCAGACTCTTTTCCATTGCCCTCAACTCGCCCTCCTTCAATTCCAACTCTGCCTGCACGCCTTTACTCTCATCCTCAGCTGTCCTCAACTCGCCCTCCCTCTCCCCCAATGCTGCCTGCAGGCCATTCCTCTCCTCATTTACAGCCCTCAACTCTCCCTCCTTCCAATCTAATTCTGCCTGCATGCCCTTCCTCTCATCCTCCATTGCCCTCAACTCGCCCTCCTTTCGTTCTAGTTCTGCCTGCACGCCCTTTCTTTCCTCCTCTACTGCCCTCAGCTTGCCCTCCTTTCGTTCTAATTCTGTCTGCAATCCTTTCCTCTCCTCCTCAACAGCCCTCAACTCCCTCTCCTTCCACTCCAATTCTGCCTGCACGCCTTTCTTCTCATCCTCCACGGCCTTCAACTCGCCCTCCTTCTGTTGCAATGCTGCTTGCACGCCTTTCCTCTCCTCCTCAACAGCCCTCAACTCTCCCTCCTTCCATTCCAATCCTGCCTGCATGCCCTTCCTCTCATCCTCCATCGCCCTCAACTCGCCCTCCTTTCGTTCTAGTTCTGCCTGCACGCCCTTTCTTTCCTCCTCTACTGCCCTCAACTTGCCCTCCTTTCGTTCTAATTCTGTCTGCAATCCTTTCCTCTCCTCCTCAACAGCCCTCAACTCTCCCTCCTTCCATTCCAATTCTGCCTGCATGCCCTTCCTCTCATCCTCCATCGCCCTCAACTCGCCCTCCTTTCGTTCTAGTTCTGCCTGCACGCCCTTTCTTTCCTCCTCTACTGCCCTCAACTTGCCCTCCTTTCGTTCTAATTCTGTCTGCAATCCTTTCCTCTCCTCCTCAACAGCCCTCAACTCCCTCTCCTTCCACTCCAATTCTGCCTGCACGCCTTTCTTCTCATCCTCCACGGCCTTCAACTCGCCCTCCTTCTGTTGCAATGCTGCTTGCACGCCTTTCCTCTCCTCCTCAACAGCCCTCAACTCTCCCCCCTTCCATTCCAATTCGGCCTGCACGCCTTTCCTCTCATCCTCAACTGCCCTCAACTCATCCTCCCTCTCCCCCAGTGCCGTTTGCAGCTCCCCTATCAACCGTGCACTCTCCCCGTTAGACTCCTCCAAATTCCTTTTCAACCCCTCTACCTCCCCCGTCAACCGCTTCACAGCCGCATCCTTCCCCTCCATTCCTCGCACCAACTTCGCCACCTCGCCTTCCTTCCCCTTCGCTTCGCCCCTCAACTCCACCATCACCCCTTCCAACTCCTCCAACTTCCCCTTCAGCTCCTCCAGATTCTCCTCCTTTACTTTCAACTCCCTGATCAGACTCGCCACCTCACTTTCTTTCTCCTTCACTTCACTCTGCAATCCCTTCAGAATCTCCTTCTCCGTTAACTCTCCCTTCAGACCCACCACCACCCCTTCCAGCTCCTTCAAAACCTCTTCCTTCTCCTTTAACTCCCTCCTCACACCCACCACCACCCCTTCCAACTCCTTCAAAGCCTCTTCCTTCTCCTTCAACTCTCCCCTCACACCCACCAACACCGCTTCCAGCTCCTTCAAAGCCTCTTCTTTCTCCGTCAACTCTCCCCTCACACCCACCAACACCGCTTCCAGCTCCTTCAAAGCCTCTTCCTTCTCCGTCAACTCGCCCCTCAACCCCACCACCGCCCCTTCTTTCTCCTCCACCTCCCTCTTCCACCCCACCAACACCTCCTCCCCTATCTCCCTTTCTTTCTCCACCACCCACACTCTCTCCCTCGCCTCCTCCCTCTCTCGCTTCACCCTCTCAACCTCCTCCCTCCCTCGCTCCACCTCCTCCCTTCCCTCCTCCACCTGCTTCTCCAGCTCAACCACTCTCGCCTGTAAAACATCTCCCTTCTCCTTCAGTTCTGCTAACGCCGCCTGTGAAGCAACCTCCTTCGTTTCCATCTCAACCACTTTCGCCTCCAAAATATCCCTTTTCTCCTTCAGTTCTGCTAACGCCGCCTGTGAAGCAACCTCCTGCCTTTCCAACTCGACCGCTCTCGCCTGTAAGACAGCCCCCTGCTTCTCCACCTCTATTAATCTCGCCTGCAGAACAGTCTCCCTGTTCTCCAGTTCAGCAACTCTCGCCTGCAAAGCACCCTCCTTCTCCTCCACCTCCCTCTCCAACTCCACCTCTACTAATCTCGCCTGCAGAACAGTCTCCCTGTTCTCCAGTTCAGCGATTCTCGCCCGTGAAATGACCTCCTCCTTCGCCAACTCAACCACCCTCTCTTTCCTCGCCTCCAGCTCAAATTTCGTATTTCCCAGCTGGTAGACCACCTCCTTCCTCTCCTCTTGCACAGACTGCACCCTTTCCTCCAGCTCAGAAACTCTCTTTTCCAACTGACATACCGCATCCTTCCTCTCCTGCAGCTCGCAAACCCTCTTTTCCAGCTCACACACTACCTGCTTCCGCTCCTCCTGCACAGACTGTACCCTTACCTCCATCTCAGAAACCCTCTTCTCCAGCTCGCACACTCTCTCTTTCCTCGCCTCCAGTTCAAATTTCGTATTTCCCAGCTGGTAAACCACCTCCTTCCTCTCCTCTTGCAGGGAATTCGCCCTCTCCTCCAGCTCAAATACTTCCTTCTCCAACTGACACACCCTCTCGTTCTTCTCCTGCACCTCGCGGACCCTCTCCTCCAGCTGCCCCACCACCTCCTTCCTCCCCTCTTGCAGGCACCGCACCGTCTCTTCCAGCTCACAGACTCTCTTCTCCAGCTCACAAGCACTCGTCTCCAGCTCGCACACTCTCTCTTTCTTCGCCTCCAATTCAAATATTTTGTTTCCCAGCTGCCCCACCACCTCCTTCCTCTCCTCTTGCACAAACTGCACCTTCTCTTCCAGCTCAAAAACTTTCTTCTCCAGCTCACACACTCTCTCTTTCCTCTCCTCCACTTCACACACGGTCTTCTTCAGCTGCGCTACCGTTTCCGCCCTCTCCCCTTCCACCTGCCGTACCCTGTCTTCAAGCATCTGCAACCGCTCATTCAGTCCCCTCACTGTCTTCTCCAGCTGTCCCACCATTTCCTTCTTCTCCTCCAGCTCGCGTGTCCTCTCCTCCAGCTGACCTACCGTCTCTTCCCTCTCCCCTTCCACCTGCACCACCTTGTCTTGCAGCGACTGCACCCTCTCCTCCAATTCATTCACTGTCTTCTCCAGCTGCCCCACCGTTTCTCTCTTTTCCTCCAGCTCGCGTGTCCTCTCCTCCAACTGACCTGACGTCTCTTCCCTCTCCCTTTCCACCTGCACGACTCTGTCTTGAAGCAATTGCGCCCTCACCTCCAGCATCGACCGCTTCTCCTTCTCCCCCCTCACCTCTGCCTGGCTTGCTTGCAGCCTTGCCTCCCTCTCCCTCTTCACACTTTCCAGCTCTTCTTTCAGTCGCTCTAACTCCTCTTTCACTTCCTCCTTCTCCCTCCGCATCACCTCAATCTGCCTCTCCAATTCCTCCTTCTCGCCCTTCACACCTTCCAATGCTCCTTTCAACCGTTCCAGTTCCCCATTCAACTCCTCCTTCTCCCTCCGCAATCCATCAATCTGCCTTTCCAATTCCTCTTTCTCCCTCTGCCATTCCTCCCTCTCTCCCTTCAATCCTTCCATTTCCCTCTCTATCTCCTCCCTCTCCCTCTCCTTCCCCTCCACCTCCCTCACCCTCTCCCTCATCAACCCCTCAAGCTCCCCAATCCTCCTCTCCCTCACACCCAATTCCTCCTCCATCTCTCTCTCCCTCTTCTCTCTCCTCCCAATCTCCTCCTCCAATTCCCTCACCCTCCCTTCCCTCTTCCTCCCCTTCCTCTCGACCTCCTCCCTCTCCCCCTCCTTCGCCTCCACCTCCCCTCTCAACGCACTCACCTGCACCGACAACTCCTCCATCTCCCCTTCCACCTCCCTCACTCTCTCCTCAAGCCTCCTCACCTCCTCCTCTCTCTCCCTCACTCGCTCCTCCCCGTCCCTCACTTGCTCTTCCAGCTGACCCATCCTCTCCGATTCAGCCGCCTTGGCTGCTAGCTCCGCTCGTTTCGCAGCTATTCCAGCCTGCAGCACTGCAACCATATCCCCAAGCTCTCTCACTTCCTCCTCTAAACCCTTCACCTTTTCCTCTTTCTCTCCTCGCTGCTTCTCTAGCTCACAAGCCTTCTCTCTGAGCTCCATAACTACTGCTTCCAGCCTTTGAATCGCCTCTTCCTTCGCTTTCATCTCTGCCTCTCGTTCCGCCTCTCTTTCAGCCGCCTCTGCAGCTTGCCTCCTCTCCTCTTCCTCCCTCTCCTTCCTCTCTTCCTCCCTCTCCCTCTCCTTCACCACATTCTCCTCTCTCCTCTCCGCTTCCATCCTCCTCCGTTCCTTCTCAAACTCAACCCTACCTTCCTCAATCCTCCCCTCCAGCTCTCTAACCCTCGCTTCCAACTCACCAGCACGTACCTCCTTGTAGCGAATCTCTGCTTCTATCGAGGATATCCTCGCCTCTCGCTCCGCCAAAGCAGCCTCCAGCGTTCCCACCTTCCCAGTCTCCTCAGTCAACGCAGTCAACAATGCCACCTCACGTTCCTTCAGCCTCACCACCTCCTCCTCCGCATCCCCTCTCCTCCTCCTCTCCTCCTCCACCCCCTTCTCTACCTCCTCCTTCTCTCTCTTCCACTCCTCCCCCGCTCTCACCCTCCCCTCCTCCGCCCTCCCTCCTCTCCTCCTCAACTTTCTGAAGACTCTCCCTCACTCCCACCAACTCTGCTTCCAACTCCCTCACTCTCTCCCTCACTCCCTCTCTGTCCTCCTCCGCCTTCCTCCTCTCTTCCTCCTCGCCACCAAGCCTCTCCTTCAGCTCTCTCACTTCCACCTCCACATCCCTCCTCCTCCCCTCCTCCTCCTCCACTCTCTCTTTCATCTCCCTCTCCGCCCGCTCCCTCTCCTCCTCTCTCCCCACCCTCTCCCTCTTCCTCTCCTCCACCCACTCTCTCCTCTCCCTCTCCATCTGCTCAACCGCACCCTTCCGAGCCGCTTTCAGCCCCTCAATCTGCTCTTCCAAATCCGCCAGCTGCTTTTCCTGAGTCGCCTCAGCACCACTCCGCGCCTCTTTCAACCCCTCTATCTGTTCTTCCAATGCCGCCAGCTGCTGTTCCAGGAGGGCGCGCTGCTGCCTCTCCGCGTGCAGCCACTCTCTCACCTGCTCCGCCTCTCGTTGCAACTCTTCCTCTCGCCTCCTCATGTCCTCCTGGACCAGCAGCAGATTGTTCATACCACTAGTGTCATTCCCCCCACTCCCCTCTCCCTCCCTAGCTTCCTCTCCTTCCCTATTAGCGGATCCCTCCTCTCCCTCCTCTCTCCTCTCACCCTCCTTCTCCTTCTTTTTCTCCTTCTCCTTCTCCCCCTCCTCATCCTTCCCATTCTGCAGCTTCCGCACCTCCCTCACAGCCTCCTCCACCTCCCTCCTCCCCTTCTCAATCTCCTTTCTCTCCTCCACCACCTCTTTCCTCGCCTCCTCTAACACACACACCACCGCCTCATTCCCACCCCTAATCTCCTCAAGTTCCTGCACCAACACACTAATCTCTCCCCTCAACGCCCTCCCTTCTCCCTCACCCTCTCCTCCCTCCTCTCCAGCAACCCCCGCGCCGTCTGCAGCTCCAATCTCAGCCGTCGGATCGTCCCCTTCGCGTCCGCCCTCATCTTCATCGCTCGCCCATGCACGCGCCTCAGAAGCTCTACTTTCCTCGAAACTTCCACCCTCAGCCTCTCCAGTTCCCCGTCTTTCTCCTTCACCACTCCCCTCAACTCCTCCACATCTCTCTCCACCGAGCAAATCTCCCTCAAAAGCTGATCCTCCCACTGGTTTTCCGCCTTAACCTTTAAAGCCAGCTCCGAAACTCCCACCTGCCGTTGAAACTCCCTCAGGGCGCGCTCCGCCTTTTCCCGCCGCCCCTCTGCTTCCTCTCGTTTCCTGGAAGCTTCCGCTCGTCGCGCTCGCTCACGTGCCAGCATGCAGGACTGGTGGAGGAGGAGATCCTCCATGTAGCCTACCACGTCAGCAGTCGCCACTTCAGACGCGGCCACGTCAGCAGCGGCATGAGAAGCAGCAGTAGCCGCAGCAGAGCCTGCATCACCAGCAGCAGCACTCGCAGCCCTTGCCTCCCCTTCCAATCCTCCACATTCCACACCGCCGCTTCCTCCTCCTCTTCCTCCCACGCTCTCCCCCTTCCGAGCCTCCATCCATTGCCAGAGCTTAGCCTCGGCAAGGCGCATGCCGGACCTAAGGTCCTCCACCTCATCCTCCACCTCCCTCCTCCGCCGCACCTCCTCCCCCACACTCCTCTCCATCTCCTCCTCCTCTCCTTCCAGCCGCCTCCTCTCCCCCTCTAACTCCAAGATACGCGTCTCAAAAGCCTTCCTTTCTTCGCCTCTCGCCCTCACGAGCTCTCCTTCGCTTGCAGCAACCCTTTGCTTAGCTACTGTCGGACTGCCATGGGTTCCCTCTCCCATGCCATGCCCCCTATTCTTGCCATCCTCGTTTTCCTCCTCGCACTCCGCGCTGCACTTTTCGGCCGTTGCTACAGCCGAGCCCTCACCAGGAGAGGCTGCAACCAGGGGTGTGAGCAAGTCCATGTTCACGACGACATGGCAGGCCTCTGATACCGTCTCAGACACACTCGCAGACGCTGCTGCTACAGCCGACGGTTTCTCAAGTGCTGCAACAACTGGAGACTCTGCAGGTGCAGCTACAACCGAGGGCTCCTTTGGTGCTGCTACAACCGAGCGATCCTCACAAGGGGAGTCCATCGGACGGTTCGGGTTAACAAGTAGGCAACCCTAGACAGCCCAAATACTGGCTGTCTGTCACTCCGCCCGTTTCACCCCACAGGAGGCCTCAGGAGCAGCGAGACGGGATATAGCACGAGTGAATGGACTCCCGATAAAGAGTCGGCGCCACGAGGAGAGGTGAGGGAAGACCCGAAGGGCGGGCAGACTGCAGCGGTGGCAGGACGCGGGAGTGGCGACACGGAATGGAAACCCGGGTGGAGAGTCGCTTGTAGGCCCTGATTCGCCCGGCCTTGGTCTGTCGTTTGTGACTTAGTGGGAGGTCGAACTTAAGCGGACGGCTTGCAACTTAGGCGGACGGTCTGTAGCTTAGGCGGACGGTCTGTAACTTAGGCGGACGGTCTGTAACTTATTTCTGAGGCTCCTCAAGGATAGGCTGGGCTATCCAGCACACTAGGAGGGCTCGTAGGCTCTGATTCGCCTCCACGGTTTCTGAAGCGCCTCAAGAGAAGATGATTAAGTCTAAGCCAGCTGCTAGCACAGTGCAAGCGGGGGGGCTAGCACAGTGCAAGCGGGGGGGGCTAGCACAGTGCAAGCGGGGGGGGCTAGCACAGTGCAAGCGGGGGGGGCTAGCACAGTGCAAGCGGGGGGGGCTAGCACAGTGCAAGCGGGGGGGGCTAGCACAGTGCAAGCGGGGGGGCTAGCACAGTGCAAGCGGGGGGGCTAGCACAGTGCAAGCGGGGGGGGCTAGCACAGTGCAAGCGGGGGGGCTAGCACAGTGCAAGCGGGGGGGGCTAGCACAGTGCAAGCGGGGGGGCTAGCACAGTGCAAGCGGGGGGGGCTAGCACAGTGCAAGCGGGGGGGGCTAGCACAGTGCAAGCGGGGGGGGCTAGCACAGTGCAAGCGGGGGGGGCTAGCACAGTGCAAGCGGGGGGGGCTAGCACAGTGCACAGGCAGGGGGGGGCTAGCACAGTGCAAGCGGGGGGGGCTAGCACAGTGCAAGCGGGGGGGCTAGCACAGTGCAAGCGGGGGGGGCTAGCACAGTGCAAGCGGGGGGGCTAGCAGTAAATAAGTCCTGATGGGCTTCGGCGCGAGCGTTGCTTCAAACGCCTCGAAGAAAATCGTCAGGGCGGAGCCAGCTGCCGGCGAACTGCGGCTAAGGGCCGGTAATGAGCCCTGATTCGCTCGCTTGGGCGAGCGAGAAATAGAAGCCGTGATTCGCTTACGCGAACGAGGACAGGCCTTTCTTTATGTATAACTTAGACGGGATTGACAATGGTTTGGACAGGCTTCGGACGACAGCTATTGAGGGATTTGTCCCAGGATTCAGTGCACGAAAGCGGGGCGGTTGTGGAGAGAAGGCGTCGGCAGGATTGGCGCTTCTAGATGACTTCTGAGTCGACTCAATCGTCAATGACGGCGGCTGCAGTGGGGCAGCGGCGGCAATGGCCGCGTTTCCGCGCTCAAGCTCCGCCTGCTCCGCCACCGCTGCCTGGTAGAGGGGGAAACGGGGGAAACACAGAAAAGGAGGATCTTGAAACCCACGGCTATCCCAGTGAGGAGTTTCCGCCTCAAGCTCCGCCCGTTCCGCCACCCCTACCTGGTAGAGGGGGAACAAGGGGAGAGACAGGAAGGAATAACTTATTCCTTAAAATTACGTTGAACGTAAAGTCAACTGCCGTGTCTATTCTTTCACCCATGAACAATAGCGGCGGGATAATAAGAGCGAGATAGCGGCGGCGAGAGGAGGGGAGAGAAGAGGACGGAGTGACGAGAGAAATTAGCTGATGGGGCAATGGGGGAGATGATGAGAACCGTGGCGAATGATGTGTCTCGAGTCGACTCAAAAGGTGTGTTTTGAGTCGACACAAACAACCCCGGAGTGACGAGAGGAAGGGAGAGGATGGGGCCATGGGGGAGATGTCTGACGACAACACCGTGGCGAACGATGGCGAGAAGAGGTAAGTGAGGGGAGGAATTAGTAGAGGAGCGAGTGACGAGAGGAATGAGGCGATGGGGCACTGGGGGAGACGATCTGAAGACAACACTCTGGCGAACGATGGCGGGAAGTTATAAGCGAGGGAAAAATGGGAGAAGCGCAAGAGAAGAGCGAGAAAGAAAGGCGAAGCGAGAAAGATCGGGCAATGCCGATGAAAGCTGGGATGCCCGGCGGGTGCACCTTCTATTCATGAAATATCGACGGCGGTTAACCTGGCATCTTGACCGTCAACGACATGTTCGCTGCCCTGGATCGACGGCGACCAAGGCGCTTGACCAGAAGCCGGTATTTCTCACCCAATGGCTGACGGACACGAGCTACGTGGCACATAGGCATTGGGGAACGGAGGACTCGCTGTCGTGGGTTGGTGGTTTCCTTCTGGAATCTGAATCTAGAAAATTGCTCGGCTTTTGGCGGGATTACACGCGAGATAAGAGACGGGGAGACAAGGGAAACGAGAATTTATGTAGGTGCGGATCAGGCTAATCTCTTTAAAAACGTCTGTTCCTGCGGCAATCTGCTGTGGCGGGAGGTACGCTATGGAGCCATGGCTGAAACTCCCTCCTCAGCATTGATTCCACACATTTGGCACCAAAATGGTGCTGCTGGCTGGGTCATCCCCAGCATTATTTGGCAACATCGAGATGAACACCAACCACATACGGTCGAAACGGGGGGGCTGCTGGGAGAAACCTGTGGTCATCGGCAAAACCGAGGTCATCGGGAGAATGGGGTGGGGATGGGGATGGGGATGGGGATGGGGATGGGGATGGGGATGGGGAGGCGATGGCTATGGAATGGCGACGGCGATGGCGATGGAAGTTCAATCCCTCATGAGGTTTGGTACGCATGGTGCAACCCACCCACAAACCAGGGGAGGGGATGGTGACATGACATGACATAACTTACAGAACATGTACTGTTTGACGAAAAGGTACAACATGGATGCATGTGATCCATGAACAATGATCCATGTCCAATGACCTTGGACCTTGGACACACGAAAATCTTCACCTCGGACCGAAGACCTCCGAAGACCAATCAGATGGGTAGAGAGACACAAGCGCAGCGACAACAGCGCGTGAGACGCAGCGGCATTGGCCGGCGCCCCTGAAATCCGTGAGTTGCTGCCCGGCATCTCTTGACTTTTCAAGGCAGAATCTAGGACGCATGGCGTGACTCGGTACACTTTACATAAACTCCATGTTTTATTTACATCACGTCGATTCAACTGCTTGAGCTGCATACCCCATTGCAAGCAGGTGTATGCAGAACAATTGTTACACAACTGAAAGGGATTTGGCATTCATACAGAAACAGGGGACTCCCACCCACCCATCCAGGGCACAGCCTATACCAGACACAATTGCAGCCCTAGTGGCTGCATCTCATGCCTGCCATTAGTACTCATGAATAAAATGAAACCTGTACACCACCCACTGGCATCCGAACTCAAAAGAAATGCACACCAAGATGTACACTAACCAGCCTGATTGTTCACCGCTCCCAACTCCCCATCACCACGCTCCACATTGCCAGCACCACCAGCATCTGAAATCGCCTGGTGCAGAATCGTGGTTGCCGTGTCGGGTGACATCCACAGGGGCAGCGGCCCTTGCTGCTCCGATGGCCGTCTATCAGCCACACTGCCCGACCGACCCGCCCCGGCCCCATGTTTGCTGCCCTGTGCACCCCTGTATTGCCTTCCACTGGTAGCAAGGGGAGCCCTACCGCCACCAGAACCAGCACCATCACCACCAGCACCATTACCACCAGCACCACCATCAACATCCCCACCAGCCGCTTCCCCCCTGCACTCGGCTTCCACAGCTGCGGCTGCTGCAATCAGTGCATGCGTCCCTTGGGCCAGCAGAGACCCCCCCTGCTGCTGCTGCTGCTGCTGCTGCTGCCCAGGTGACAGCCCCAACCCTGGCACTTCACTCCCACACCCCCCTGCCTCTGCACCCCCAGAAGCCCCCCCTCCTCCTTGCAAGCCCTGCACTGGCATTGCCAGTTGACCAGCCTGCTGCTGCTTCTGAGCCGCCCCAAAACAGCTCGACTCCGCCACACTGGACAGCCGCCCGCCCATGGGCGGCGGCGGGCTCATCATTGCTGCATGGCTGTTGGGCGGCGGTGGTGAGGTCAGCATGGCTGCACGACCTTCCATAGGCGGTGAGCTCAGCATTGCCAGATGGCTGCTGGATGGGGGAGACAGCATGAGGGACTGTCCCAACAGAGATGGGGATAGAGGAGTGCTGCTGCTGGAAGGTTTCTGCGAGTGGTCAAATGACTGTCCGAGCAGAGATGGGGATACAGACATGCTGTTGGATGGGTTGTGAGGGAGGAGAGTGTCGTCTGAAAAGGCCGGTGGGTGGTCTGAGTCGTCGTCTGCTTGGAGCAGCGCTGACATCTCGCCCATCATTGGTTGAGAGGCTGACATCTCGCCTATGATTGGCTGAGAGACTGACATGTCGCCCATCATTGGCTGTTCACCCATCAGGCGTTTCTCCCCCTCGTCGCCCCACCAGCTCTTGCCATCTCCGCCCGCCCCTGCTTCCTCTGCCTGTGCCTCTGCTGTGCTCGCATGGTGCGCCTCATACTTGGCTTCCACTGGCGTTCCATCTGGAGACGTGGGGGGAGAGGAGGGGGGAGAGGAGGGGGGGGGGGGGGGGGGGGAGGGGATGTGTGTGTACATATGTATGTATATATACATATATACATGTATACAAAAATACATATATACATATTACATATATACATATATATAGCAAGGATGTTAGGTTGGGTGGTTGTCAATCTGAACAAATTATGCAGAGGATGGTTTTTAGGCGCGTCAGAATTACATACAAAAAACACGCTTGACAAAGCAAGCGATAAGTGGGTTCTCGCAAGACAGAGAAAGAAAACAAGGCGTTTACAAAACAAAAGGAGGCAACTTTCTAGACATGCAAAAATGAGCAGTGGGATGGGATGGGAGGAGGTGCAGTGCAGCGGTGCACTGACCACACTTCTGAAGAGAACGGTACTGCAGACGGACGCTTTCCCCCGAGTCCTGCACTCGCACGAGATACCTGCGGCAGAGGCACACAGACAGAGAGACACGCTGTCTGTCAATCAACTGACAGATTGTACAGGTAGAACAAACATGGGATGGGAGCACGCACATACTTTTAGGCATCCAAAAAGAACGAAAGACAGAGGCAGACAGACAGACAGACAGACAGACAGACAGACAGACAGACAGACAGACAGACAGACAGACAGACAGACAGACAGACAGACAGACAGACAGACAGACACACACAGAGAGAGAAGAACCCACCAGCCGTTGAGGCACTGAGAAGTGATCACTGCCTCTTTGCCAAAGAACTTCTCAGGCGTTCGCTTATTCCCCTGCACGTCAAACCATGGAGAGTCATCAGCAACGCGTTCGCAGCCCACTACAGTGAAAATGATTAAAAAAAACAAACAATCGAGAAACGTGAAGGACGTGAAGGAGCTCTTACCTTTATCAGAACCTTTTCGTTGACGGAGAATGGAAACTGCACGCCTTTCAGGCGGCCACCACCTTCAGCATCAGGAGACCCGAGAAGCCCCGAGTCCTCAGGCTGCTCAAACACACACAGCACAACACAACAAGGGACAGCACCATATCAATGACGCTCCAGTCCCAAAAAAGGCTTATCATTGCTACAGAAAAGCATCGCTTCAAGCATGAGAACAAAGCGCAGGGAGAGAATGATACTGTTTTGTTGAAAGGAAGAAGATAAGAGGGGAGAGGAGAGAAGAGAGGAAGGTTGAGAGAGAGGAGAGGAGAGGAGAGGAGAGGGAGAGGAGAGGAGAGGAGAGGAAAGGAGAGGGAGAGGAGAGGAGATGAGAGGAAAGGAGAGGGAGAGGAGAGGAGAGGAGAGGAAAGGAGAGGAGAGGAGAGGAGAGGAGAGGAAAGGAGAGGAGAGGAGGGCAGGCACAACACCTTGGGGCGGCGCTTGACTGGTTGAGGCAGGGAGCCGTCTGGCAACAGCTTGCCCTCCCCTGTGTGCTCCTTGTCTCGCTTCCTCTTGTGCGCCTTTGCGCCCGGCCCAGCCCCGACCCCTGTGTGGTGCGGCAGGCCCTTTCCAAAACATGATGCCACGGACCTCACAGCTGCACGCAAGCAGGTGACACGGAGGTGAGGAGGGAGAATGGGACAATGTGAGTGGTGACATGGCCCACCCCTCCTAGCCCCTGTGTGGTGCAGCACGCCCTTGCCGAAACATGATGCCACGGACCTCACAGCTGCACGCAAGCAGGTGACATGGAGGTGAGGAGGGAGAATGGGACAATGTGAGTGGTGACATGGCCCACCCCTCCTAGCCCCTGTGTGGTGCAGTGCAGCACACCCTTGCCGAAACATGATGCCACGGACCTCACAGCTGCACGCAAGCAGGCGCCATGGCACACGGAGGTGAGGTGGGAGAATGGGAGAATGCGAGGGAATGTGAGGGAATGTGAGGGAATGTGAGAGAATGGGAATGAGCCCAGGTAGACCGCTTACCGAGGTTGGGAATGAGCGCCATGACGTCAACAGGCGCCATGCAGTATGGACACACCATCTGCAGAGCACAAGAGAGGCAGGCAGGAGCCATGGAGCATTGTGAGGCAGGGCATGTGAGGCAGGGCATGTGAGGCAGGGCATGTGAGGCAGGGCATGTGAGGCAGAGCACGTGATGAGGCAAGACATGTGGAAAAGTGGCAGGTAGAGCACGAAAACTATGCAAGGTGGCTGCAGCACGGGACTGAATAGCAAGCCATAAACAGACATGACGGAAGGAATTCCTTACCGAGTCCAGCTTGGAACGTCTCAGAACTCAAATTTAAGCCTTCTCAGACTCAAATTTAAAGCCTTCTCAGAACTCAAATTTAAAGCCTTCTCAGACTCAAATTTAAAGCCTTCTCAGACTCAAATTTAAAGCCTTCTCAGAACTCAAATTTAAAGCCTTCTCAGAACTCAAACTTGAAGCCTTCTCAGAACTCAAAACTTAAAGCCTTCTCAGAACTCAAATTTAAAGCCTTCTCAGAACTCAATATTGAGACGCACAAACAGGAACGAGGGAAGGCAGGAGGTGCTTACCGAGTCCATGACTCTTGCGAGTGTTGCTCCGCCGAAGGAATGCCCACACTGAGCCACCATGGCATCCTCCAGCAGCGAGCCCCTGCAGCACACACAACACAACAGCACACACACAGTAGCAGCACACAACAAAGGTACATGACATGACAGCAGCACACAAGTCAGCACTTCATTCCAACACTCTCCGTCAAAGGCGTGCCCACACTGGGCCACCATCCCATCACATCCTCCCTCCAGCAACGACCCCTTGCAGCAAACACGAGCAGAGCAGCATGCAGTTCAGTGCTTCATTCCCTCCCTATCTGCATCACTCCAACCCTCTCTACCTCCATACACCCCTCTCCCTGCAACCATCTCCTTACATCTACCTCCCTTCCTCCCTACGTGACTACGTCTACCTCAACTTCCCTACCTCTCCACCTCCCTATCTCCCTCACCACCTCCGCCTCCAACTTCCCGAACTCATTTCACTCTTCCTCCCCCGCGCACCCCCGTCTTTAACCCATTGAGCCCCTGGTCTCTCTTGCTTCATCCCTCCCTCTTTCATATTCTCTCCTGCTGCTTCCCTCGCTCGCGTCTCTCCCCCCAACGTACGAGACAGTGTCCGAGACCATGGAGGCAAGAGACGACTTTCCCAGCTTGCGAGATAAGGCCTGGTGACAGGCATGCGAGGGAAAACTCCCTACTTCCCTACCTCCCTCTCTACCCCCCCCCCCAACGTACGAGACAGGGTCCGAGACCATGGAGGCAAGAGACGACTTCTCCAGCTTGCATGACACAGCCTGGTGACACACGGACGAGCAATGTTGAGAAACGAGGGGAAAAAAAAAAGGAGGGCTCCGATTTGATGCGTGGTACTAATTACGGATTTGATTGATTATACTCAGCATGTACACGACTGTTCGGGCAAAGAGCAACATTTGGCAACTCAAGTGGGTGCCCAGCAATGCTCGCCCACACTCGCCCATGATCACCCACGCTCGCCCATGATCGCCCACGCTCGCCCATGATCGCCCACACTCGCCATGATTCCCCCACGCTCGCCCATGATCCCCCACGCTCGCCCACGCTCGCCCACGCTCGCCCATGATCGCCCACGCTCGCCCATGATCGCCCACACTCGCCCATGATCCCCCACGCTCGCCCATGATCGCCCACGCTCGCCCATGATCGCCCACGCTCGCCCATGATCGCGCGAGCAGGGCGCAGCAGTCTAACTCCGCAAGGACTCACCAGGCTGGATTCTCTGTCGCTGCTTCCCAGGTCGGCGGCGGAGGCGGACGGGCCCAGCGCGTCCATGAAGGCCCCCGCGCACACACTCTCGCGCATAGCGGCGGGCACGGCGTGGCCCGCGTGCGCCAGCACGGCGCAGTCGATCACCGCGGATGGGCGCGGCATGAGGCGGAACGAGAGCGCGCACCTGCAGCAGGCGACGGCACAGCAGACAGGGTTAGAAAGGCGGGAATGAAATCAGGAGAGTGTGTGGAAGGGGGTGAGGGGGAAAGGACGGCGCAGGCAATCACGGCGACCGTCCGCGGCATAAGGCGGAACGAGAGGGCGCACCTGCAGCGGCCCGAGGTACAGCAGGCCAAGGCACCATAGCACAAGGGTTGGGAACAGACTCGAACGGGCGTCAATCCGAAGAAATGACATTCAACTAAACCATCAAGGGACCTCTCACGACGTTGCTTCCGACGACGCGGGCGGGAGCACAGTTGGATAGGAAAAACAGAACGAAAAACCCCTTTGTAATTCTTATTTTCAACATAAGATACCTGGTGGTTCCCGAGGAGACGGGCGGCAGCACGCGGTAGGTGGAGGCGGGGCAGAGGCCGGCCGTGGCGCGATGGAGGCAACGGCCGGCAAGCAGCAGCAAGCTTCCCGGCGGCACGCCCTGGTCCGCCGGCGACCAGACGCCCTCGGAATTGCACACCTGCGCCAAAAAAATGGCAAATTGTTTGCTACCACATATCCTCGAATTCCGCACGCCTGCCACCAGCAGCGCCCGCAGCAATGCACCCTTAAACCACAGCGGCAAAAGTTGAAAATCTGACCTCTAACAGGCTGGCACATTGGCTAACCCTGCAGGACTAATGGTGTATACGGTACCTGGAGGCCTGGAAAATCGGCTGTGACAAGCATGAGAAGCCCCTTTTCAATTTCAGTGGCATCCGGTGTCACTCTGGCGGAATCGTCTCGAGGAGATTGGATGCGCTGGCATGATGCGGCGAGCACGGAGGAGGACACCTCGCCGATCGGCAACGGAAGGTCGTCGAGCAGACTCGAGAAGAAACTGCAGGGAAGTTGCGAGGAGGATAATGGCAATTAACAAAAAAAATCCGACGTTGAACACGGGCAACAACAAAATTATTCTGCTGAAAACTGGTGAACCGGGTCGGGCGAAAACACGAGATACACACTCGACGGTGAGAAGACGAGACGACATTTTCGGAACGAACCTCCACACGACGACTGCTGAGACGCATCAGCGACAACTAGCTGAACGTCTCAAGAAACGTCTCAATGCAGGAATAGGAGGACGTACTCGCAGCGGACTTTCAGATGGCGAGCGAGAGCTGACATGGCGGACCGCGAGACCTTCCCCAAGTACTTGAACGCTTCCGCAAACCCCGGTGGGCAGGAGTCGCTGATTGCTTCGTTCAACGACCTGCCGGCTTTGTAAAAGTACAAGTCCTTGGAAGGTGCCTGGAAGTAACCTCCGCCGTCATTCCACGCAGGCTGTTCCGGGAATGACGGCGACGACGACGACGACGGATCTGCTCGTCGGCGAAAGTAAAGCCGCGCGGATTCCAACGTTCTACACAAGGACGCGGCATCGTGTCGCGCGGGTTCCAGAATCACTGCTCCGTTCTGTGCGAGCGAAAGATACAATGTCTCGGCCAGCGCGGGTAAACGACGACGACGGCGGACCGTCTTCTAATAAAAGATCGTCTACGGATATCCTCGGAACGGCACGCGGCGTCGCGAATGCGGCGATCTGAACTGCTTCACCTGCCGGTGGTTCTACAGCATTAGCCTGAGCTCTAACTTGCGAATTCCGGCCGTGAGAGCTACGCTTCCTTGCACTCTTGGGCTGGCATTCCTTTATCACCATTTGCTTTGCTGGAGGTGGTAATATGGCATGAGGATGATCATGGACTGCGGAGGAGGTTGGGGGATGTTGCTCAGGGATTGAAGGGATGGCGGAAGCCATGAGGGAGGATGGGGGAGGGGAGTGAGGGATGGTGCTTCAGTTCAGATGATGGATGGCCCACAGAACGGAACAGATGTTGCTGCTGTGCTGCTTGACGAAACCCTAATGGATGAAAATGATGATGGAATGGATGATGATGAATGGAAAGCATGGATGTGGAAAGAACGGGAAGAGACGGGAAAGCGGAAAACGTGAGACAGAAACGGGCTGGAGCAGTGAAGCGAAGGAAATAGGCGACGCTGAAAATGAGGGGTTTCCACCAACGGAACAGTTGAAGATGCCGTTTCTCCGTTTGCGAGGAGCTGTAACCAGCGGTGATACCTTTCGCCATATTGGTTCGGGACGAAACTCGTCAGCTAAGAGCTACACGCCGCTTCTGAATGAGAGGTTCGGCAAGTCCAGAAACCTGTGGTGAAACCTAAGGGGGTTTCGCGATCGCAGTTTTGTGGTGAAGGTTGCGCTGGCGCAGCCTTTCCTGTCAAACTTGTGTGGACGACATGCATCGCACCAGCACTACAGACATTCACGATTTTCGATGAGCCATTTGATACAGTACCGTTGTGGTTGGACCCTATAACAGGCCCTCTCGTCTGTAAAAGTGCATGGATACATCTGCAAGATTGTGTTTACAGAATTGAAATCAACAGAATATGCAAATCCATGCAAAGCAGGAAATCTCCCAACAACACATAAGCAGCTGCAATCCAGGCAGCCTTAACAAAATTAACAAACAACAGAATCACCCCATAAAACAAGAAACCCAATCAGCTGGCTCATGCTGACTGGAAAGTACCAAAAGACCATTCAGAAACAAGGCAATGCAGATCAGTCAATCAGGTGGTCAGTCGGTCAGTCAGTGAAGTCAGTTGATCACCAAACTAGACTACGATTAGACGAGATTAGCTGGTCAGAAGCTGGAAGTCTGCAGTTAACTACCACCACCATGACCTGAATTGTTAGCGCCATCCGAAATTGCTTGATGCAAGAGCGAAGTAGCCGTTATTGGTGACATCCAGAGAGGAAGGGGGCCAGCTTGCTCTGGTCTTTGCCTGTTGGCCAAATCTGGAGTAGCAAAAACACCCCGCTGCCTGTTTTCCACAACTCCTGGATTTTGCTCTTCATGCGCAAGTGAAGGCTGGTTGGCACGAGGAGAAAATGACTGCTGGTTACCACCAGACACACAGTCGTCCCCAGTTGCCTCTCTTGATTCCTCTTCCATTGCTGCTGCTGCAGCAATCAAGGCTTGGGTCTGCTTGGCGAGGCTTGATCCATGTGCTCCCAAGTAAGCTTGGGACTCACGTGGTGCTGCTCGCGTATCAACAGCATTCCTCACGGCAGGATGATTGGGTGTTGACGAAAGGGGGGGCTGTTCATGAAGAGAAGAGGACGAAGCTCCACCAGGACAGGGTCGTGGGACAGACTCCTCTCCTAGCGCCAGCGAAAGCGGTCGACCAAGCTTCTCATCCTTGTCATCTTCTTGCAGCAATGCCGACATTTCTCCAACCGCAGGCTTCGACTCCCACCACCTTTCTGTAGAGTCTGCTCCAGCCTTCCTCTCCATCTGGGCATCCGGACTGCTAGAGAGACGAGCGTCGCCAGTCTCTAAAGGTGTTCCATCTGTAAAAGGGTAACAACAAAACGAAACATGAATAAGGTGGCAGGAAAACAACAAAAATGAACAGCAATTCAAGAATGGCAATCATGCCATGTGGCACACATGGGACTCACCACTTTTCTGAAGAGAGCGGTACTGCAGGCGAACACTTTCCCCAGAGTCAAGCATGCGAACCAGGTACCTGCAAATCCAGGGCAAAGTCAAATCAGTAACACGCATGACACAACATTCGCATGGTGCAGGGGAAAAAACTAGAGCATACCAGCCATTCAAGCACTGAGACGTGATAATTGCCTCCCTCCCGAAAAACTTCTCAGGAGTGCGCTTGTTTCCCTGCAACAATGAACAAGTCGTTAGTAACCAGAAACACTAAACTTCAAGAAGAATCAAATGCAAACAAATGGTTACCTTGATCAGAACTTTGTCATTGACAGAAAAGGGGAACTGTACTCCTTTTGGACGGCCAAATGTGTCTCCTTCAAATGAGCTGGCAAGCATCGCATCTTCAGTCTGCTCATGAATCCAAAGAAGAAGGCGAATCAGCATTCATGACTTCAATCAAGAAATCTGAAGATGCAAAAATGTCAAGAGTCAAGACTCACACCACGCATGCATCACCTTAGGTCTGCGTTTGACAGCTTCTGACGGGTCTTTCCCTTCTCCAAACTCCTTCACCCGCTTTCTCTTTGGGACCTTCACGCCGCCTCCATGCGACAAGCCCGGGCGGAAGCAAGACGCAACTGACCGCATGGCTGCAAGATTGGAGAAAGAATGTTCGGATAAACTTCCGTTACCTTGACAAGAATGTTCAGATTCTAAACACTGAAAGCGAGAGATGTGGATGGGTGGTCAAGAAAGCAAGCCTGCTTACCAAGGTTGGGAATCAGAGTCATGGTGTCAACCGAGGCCATGCAATAAGGACATAGCATCTGCACATGGATCGAAGAACACGTGGAACAGCTTAGAAAAAAAACGAGAATCTAGTGCATGAGGAATGGGCTGATGCCCATAAAGATGGGTGGGGAAGAAAAGAGCTGATGGGGGGATTCTAAAGCCAATCACGAGCACTTACAGAATCAATGACTCGAGAGAGTGTCGCTCCACCAAATGAATGGCCACACGGAGCAATCATTGCATCCTCGAGAAGAGACCCTCTGGAAAACAGTTTAAAACGAAATGTTTAGATTATGACCGAGAGTATAGTCATAAAACAGGAAATCCGCACGCACTTACGAGGCAGGATCGACAACCATTGACGAAAGTGAAGCCTTTTCTAACTTGCACGCAACAGCCTGAACATCATGGAAAAAACCATATGTTAGAATAGAAAGCACTAAAATCATAAACCATATGAAAGCAAAGGCAATATACAAACGCACGAGGCGCACCATGCTTGACTCCTTCGATTCGCTCGCAGGATCGTGAGCATAGGAGCTCAGCGAATCAAGAAATGGGCCAGCGTGAACGACGGCTCGCATGCTTGAGGGGACTGCGTGACCCGCGTGAATCAGCGAAGAGCAGTCAATCGGCGCTGAAGGGCGCGGCATCAGGCGGAACGACAACGAACACCTGCGAAGGCGTAACAAAAAACAATCACACAAAAATCGTCAACCAAAAGTCACGATATAAGAAATAACCTTTGGAAAGAAGAAACATAACACGAAAAAATCGTTTTCGCAAGTCACCTGGTGGCTCCCGCAGAGGCGGGCGGCAGCACGCGGTAGGTGGAGGCGGGGCAGAGCCCGGCCGTGGCGCGATGAAGGCAACGGCCGGCAAGCAGTAGCAGGCTTCCCGGCGGCACGCCCTGATCCGCCGGTGACCACACACCTTCGGAATTGCACACCTGCGCGACGAACGTCGATTGTTACACAGCCTCCGACAACGAAATAGTAACGAAAACGATAATTTTCGTAAACAAACGGGTTACCTGAAGGCCCGGGAAATCTGCTGTGACGAGCATCAGAAGGCCCTTCTCGGTTTCCGATGCCTCTGAAACTCTTCCATGCGCGTCGTCGGGTTTGAAATGGTCGGAGATAGGATCTCTCCTTTGGCACGTCGCGGCTAGAACGGACGACGATACTTCGCCGACCGGCAACGGGCAGTCGTCGAGCAACCCTGAAAAGAAACTGTAAAAACGCCGAAGGCAAAGGAGGAAAAAACAACTAAATAAACAGTCCAACAAAATCAACGAAACAAAACCACGACGGAAGTACTACCACGTTGAACGCACAAAATACATATAATTACTCGCCAATGACTTACTCGCCACGAAGCTTCAGGTGCCGAGCGATGGCGGACATGGCAAGCCGTGAAACGCGTCCACTGCATCGAAAGGCTTCAGGAAAACCAGGAGGACAAAAATCGTTCAGTCCCTCGTTCATCGACCTGCCAAACACACATAAACAAAATAAAACGGAATTAAAAAAGGGCAGTGAAAACTAATATCCCCAATCAACCCGTCGCG